CGGGTGTTAGCTGGGAGGATCGTTAAAGGTCAGCGCTGTGGATCTCTAAAAGCACGACCGGGCATTTGCCCATTCGGTGGCCCTAAGTACATGGTGAGGTAGTTCCAATGCTGCCAGGGCACATATATATAGGGATAATATATATTCCCAATTATATATATATAATTGGGAATGAGTCATGGTTGTCATCCCCTGATGGTGGCCCTGGCCCCCTGGATTCCTTCCTCTCTGCCTCCTCAGTATGAGGAAGGTTTATTGTGTGTATTGGGGCTTTTGACTGTCACTCACATCCTATCACTGGCTGCCCATTAAAAGAAATAGTACACACCCGGTATACCTTACTTATTTTGCGGAAGCAGAGAGGAAGGAAGCCGGAGCGATGAAGCCCAACCTCAGATTAAAACATGACCCCCAGACATTCCTACCCCACAACTTAAATGAGCTTATGTTGTCATTGGCAGAGCATGGAGGAGTGTTTCTTTAAAACTTTCTATGGTTTGAGCTCTGTTTTTCATATTATCAGCAAGCTAATGGGGGCATCTAGTGGTCAAACTGTATATCACAGTCTATTATGTATATATTAAAATAGAGAAAAGAAGATATAGATGGCGTTAAAGGTATAGAATTGGTGCTTTTAAAAAACACACCCAAGTGTACAGTCACTAAAATACACTTAAAATACAGTATACAAAAAAAAAGGTCTTCAGCGCACACATAAAAAAAAAAAAAAAAAGGACCATTAAACTTAAAACAGTCACTTGGTAAAATGTACCACTTTTTGGAATAATACTGATTCCTATATAAGACATAAAATAAAAGAGTAGATAGCATAGCCTGTATAAATGGTTAAAATTGATATATACAAAGTCAGCACATCAACTTTAAAGGGGGAGACCATATTTAAAAGAAGAAAGACTACCACAACAAGAGGACATAGTCTTAAATTAGAGGAGCAAAGGTTTAAAAATAATATCAGGGGGGGGCGGGGCCGGACCGCCATGCTAACCGGTCGCATGCAGGAGAGGCTCCGGAGCGATCGGGCCTCTTAAGCTACAAATGGCAGATTATTATGATGACCGACAAGCCTACAAAATACACACGGCTGTGGGAGAGGTAGCGGACCCTGAGATCGGGAGCTTTGGACCCCATAGTGGAAGACCGAAGCTTCGAGGGCTGCGGCCTACTCGGGAGGGGAGTGAGGTGGACGGCCGCTGCCAGGCCTCCCTTCCCAGCTGCCACACGCTGATTGCCAGAGCAGCTTGCCGGTCCCGTTTCCCCCCCCTTTGGGCCGGGGGGGTCATCCCGGTCCCCACTGAGAAGAGAGGTGGGGAGACTGGGGCACAAGAAACATCCGAGGCTAACCTTGCAAGATGGCGGCAGCTTCTGACTCTCCACCATCTACCCCTACAACACGGAGTCTCTCTAAGCTGCGACCAAGCCAACCACTCCGGCGGAGGTCCCCAAAGCCAGATACTCGAGGGATACAGCGCTGGGAGAGAGGGAGACCGTGCAAGTAACTGGATCCGCCGCCAGCAACAGACCCTCTCTGGGGGGGGGGCTGGACACACGTGGCGAGCAACGGAGCCATGTTCGCAGCGTGTATCTACCAACTGGAGCTAAGCAGTCGGAACAGGACGAACCTCAATTCTCTCGTTATGTGCCGAGCAGCTGGGGTACCAGACCGGGGTCTAGGAAGACCGATCCTGGCATGCAAGCACAGAGACACCCACAGCCCCAAAACATGTGGACTTTGTTAGAAACAGCAGCTACACGTAACCCACTGGCAGCTTCAGACCTAAGATGCACAGCGGTACACCGCTGCCACTTTGCCCTTTTTGGCCTCTTCTCCCCACCAGACCCCACCCAGAGCTTTGTAGCTGCGCGGGGTCCTGCTCGACTCCAGTGGTCACTTGCCTACTGGCTCACACGACCATTTAAGTTAATACCCCTCATGTCAGTGGTCTATTGCTTATAAATTTTCTACTTGGTCTTACATGCAGACATATATGATTCACAACGTTAAAAATCCATTGCTAAGAAGAATGTACATCCAATGCTTTCCCTTTTTGTCTCTTCTCTGACTACTACTATCTGACTTTAAGCTGCTGTCACTATGGCATAAATATTTACCCTTCTCAGAAAAGCAATGCCATAAGCCTTACCATAATCTAACTATTGTTGATACTTGCATAACATATGCCACTAGATTGCCTTACTACGTTTAAAAAATGTTTTAAAAATGTGCTTTCACTTCTATGCCACATATGTGTACATCTATGTTATTGATGTGATTATGTTTGCTGTTGTGGCAACGTATATCCTACTGTCAAACCATGCACAACAAAAATAAAGAATTCAAAAAAAAAAATAATATCAGGAAGTATTACTTTACTGATAGGGTAGTCGATGAATGGAATAGCCTTCCAGTTGAAGTGGTAGAGGTTAACACAGTAAAGGAGTTTAAACATGCGTGGGATAGGCATAAGGCTATCCTAACTATAAGATAAGGCCAGGGACTAATGAAAGTATTTAGAAAATTGGGCAGACTAGATGGGCCAAATGGTTCTTATCTGCCGTCACATTCTATGTTTCTATGTTTCTATGTAAGCTCCTCTCAGAAGGGTAGGATGCTTTCTCAAGGATAAGATTTCCTCGTACTGGTAGCTATTTTCATCACAGGAACAACAGGAACTCCGAGGTCCAAAGTGAACATAAGCTATTTATTAGTACAAATAGTACATACAAACAAAATAAAATAGAAATAAAAGCACAACGTGTTTCAACCCACAACTGGGTCTTCCTCAGGTGCAAGCATAATGGTTAATGCATTTATATAGCATATACACAACAATTAAATAACATCAATTATTCATGTACATAATTAAAATGGGACACTCCTATTCACAAATATGGTGTTCCACCATCCTCAAGATGGTGATATCCTATTAAACCCAAATTCCTTCCACAATATGTCCATCAGCATCTTTTCCTTCCATTTTCCATCTGTGTCCGTACCTCTGGTATTGACCAATACGTCACATCCCACCACCATTGGAGGATCCATGTCAAGAGGTGTGACATACCCATGGATGTCGGAAGAAGGGAGATACGATCACATGGGTAGTGCTGGAGGAAATGAATCACAGGATGTGACATATTGGAAGTACGGGCACAGATGAAAAACGGGAGAAAAAGATGCAGATGGACATATTGTATTATTGTATTATTAAATATTGTATTACAATATATTGGATTATTATATACATACACACACAGGTTATCGTTTGAGTTGTAGATTCATAGGGTTATTCACTAAAGCACTATGGAATTTGTTGGTGCTGTATAAATATAATAATAATAATAAAGTGAGAATTGACAGGAATTCAAAAAGGATTTATTTAGTAAAGTGAGAATTCTAATTATAGGCCACATCAGACGATAAAGAACATAGCTGACAGAGAATTTATCCAATTTAGCTATTTCAACCTCAAATTTTACGTTTAATTTGAATTTCACTCTAGTAAATAATCCCTACAGTGGATTCAAAGTAACTTTCAAATGTAAGGCCGAAGTAGCCAAGTAGCCAAACTGAATATAGAACTGAGTAGAAGCATTGACTATTCTGGTGTAACTTTTCACTTTGAATTCCTGACAATTCTTACTTTTGTGAATACTCCTGTCTCTTCCTTCTTCAATCTCCTCTCCTTTTATAACATATCCACTTCTATCTTATTTGTTCAGTGTCTTTCCCTTTCTTTTCAATACCCTTACTTTTTCCCCTTGATATTCTTTCTTTAGTTTTACTTATGTTTCTCTTCAGTCTTCCTTTACTATAACTTTTCTCTTTCTTTTCTCTTCAGTCTCTCTAATAAGCAGGATCGATGTGAGGAGGTAGCAGCCAATACACTGGTAAGAGGTCATATTAAAGAATGAGACCTTCATGAACTAGCCCACAAACTGGGCCCCATAACTGACTGCAACAACTTTCCCCTCTTTGCTCCTGTGTGATAGTGTCTACAGACATCTACTCTCTATCAGCTTGATCCCCCATTGCCACCAGGCAAGCCGTCCTCCTGTTGCAAAATGGTAACTAAAAAGGCAGGAGGCTAAATAAAATATTAATTTTAATGTGTGTCTGTGTAGCAGTGTGTAGGTAGCAATGTATGTGTATGTAGCTGGGTGTGTGTATAGCAATAGATGTTTTTGTAGCTGTATGTGTGTAGCAACAGATGTATGTGTATGTAGCAAAATGAGTGTATATGTGTAGCAATGAATATTTGTTTATCAGTGAGATTGCATGTGTGTATGTTTAGCAGTGTGTGTTTTTATATTGTGTGTGCTGCAATGTGTATCTGTGTGTCTGGCCGTGTTTAATAGGGATCGACTGATATCATTTTACCAGAGCCGATGCCAATACAGATTAGTGCCAATATTCTGTGCATTTAAGTTTTGGAAAAAAAACAATTCTGAAAAAAACACAAATCTGGCATTAACGGAACATGCTTACAGGAATCAAACGCCTAACACTCTCAAGCAGCCAGTACATGTGCCACAAGGGATGCCGAAACTTACCTGTCCCAGAGCGCCCACGGCATCCTTGATGGAGCTCCCTGAGCGCTTGGGCACCTACTCCTTCCATTCTCCCTCCTGGCTCCAGTGTCTACCATTGGTACCAGGCTCAGTTTAGCTGTCACCGCGGCAAGGTGGCGGCTGCACTGTGGACATCTGTGAGGCGATCAAAAGGGTTTCAGGGAATGCGGGGGGAGGGGGTGAGGATAGACTGAAGAGGCAGAGGGGAGGGAGTGCGGAATAGCCAAGATAGCACCCAGTTCCATTCCTCCTTTATAGTCATTGGGGCTTCACCTTTAGGGGGTGACTTGCTCTCCCTATAAAAACCCAACCACTACACATTGTCAGTGTTTGCTTGTTCTGGTGCTTGCCCCAGTCTCCTAGTGTCCTGGTTCCTGATCCTGCTTCCTGGTTCTTGTTCGTGGTTCCTGATTCTGGTTCCTGATTCTTCTTCCTTATTCTTGGTTCCTGATTCCCAATAAACCTCCCAGCTGCTGATCTTTGGCTTTGACCCTGACCATGCTTTTTGTCTCCAACCTTTGACCTTTGGCATCCTGCTCCAATTCATGGATTTCCTCGCTTCTGAATTTCGGCTTGACTCTTGACTTGACTTGACTCTTTTGCTGCCACCCCTGATCTTTGGACCTCCTGATGCCACTTTCTATCTGCTCCTTTCTGGCTACATCACTTCCTCTGTAAGTTATTGCACCCATGCCCTCATAGATCCCTCATGTTCCCATATCACTTTTAGGCACTTGGGAAGGTCATGTTTGCAAGGGGTTGTCGGTCCAGTGCAACTGAGTTCCTCTCCAAGCAAACCAACTGGTAGGTTGTTGCAACATGTTGGAATCAGTGAGATCCCAGCATGGACAGTGCTGTTACTGATTGGAGTCTGATTGTTGAACGTCTGATTACCTGCTCAGTATATTACAGTAGATTATTCACTGACTCACCTCCCTGCCTTTAGCTGTGCCCCGTATGCGTTAGGTCACAACATAGCGCGTCGTTGGCTGGCAGCTGGAGTTTTGCGATGCAGAAGACAATGTGCTGTGACTGGAAGAGGTGAGTAAATTATCAGTAATATTGGTAAATTATAGAGAAAAACAAAAAGAATCAGAGAGAGTGTGTCAGGCTGTAATAACAATTGGGGGCTAAGCCCTTTGTAATAAACATTATACACCTAAAAAAGAAAAGAACTAACAAAAACCAGCCCTCAGCAGTATAAAATGTAACTTTTAATATTGCATATTTAAAAGTCCAAAGGTCTATGTGAATATTTAAAATAAATGACTAGTACTGTAGGAATCTCAACCTTAGTCTGAGGAGAAATTAATCACAAGGTTTTATATATGAGAAAGAGTAGATTTATAAATCAATGGTCTTAGTTGAGTATTCTAATCAATATAAGGTTTAGAGGTGAAGTCAGGCCAAGGCGTTGCTTGTAAAAATAGAGGTAATATTTTAAAAAGTAAGTAAACTGTCTCTTTGTTAGATCTTCAGTAACAGTTTATAAAGTACAGGAATAGCAGTCTTTCCCCAGAAGACACAGTTGCATAAGTATCAAATGTGTTATAGTGCATAGCTGATATAGTGTGCCCACTAAACAATGGGCACAATATCTCTTGTACTATGTATCAGAAGTTGCAAAGCATATGTAAATATGTGAATAGATGAAAAGAAAGACCCTAATCTGTGCCTTCAAGGGCTGCCCTCTAGCACCTACATCCTCTTAGCCAAAACTAGATTGTCATGTATACTAAAACCAATTACGCAAATAAAAACAAACAAACGAAACAAGGTCAGTTAAATAGTGCGTTAGGGATCCATTAATAAACCAAGTAGACTTAGTACAGATGGCTAACACTAAAATCATCTCGCTTATTAACACTGCCACACTATTAACAGAAGTCCCGTAATGCATTTCGCCAGTACCAAGCACTTCAAGGAGAATTATAACTATAAGACTGATACAGATTATTGTAAATAAGAAGCCAAATATCAGCACTAATAATAATCCATTGAAAAAGCCGCCGTAGTGGAGAAACGCGTCTGGAGAGGACTGCACGCCTATCACTGGGAACAAGCATCTTGTACGTGCTTACCTGATTGCATCTAGTGCATTACTACTTGCTGCTGACTCGGGACGCCGAGTGATCAATCTAAGTTACACTATGGAGTAACACTATCCAGGGAGATCACCTGGATTAAGCAATCAACAAAGACTAATTACTGGACTATTGACATTCAAGTTTGTTGTAGCCAGTTTTTGTATTTTATATTTTTTCTGGCTGATGTTTTTTTCTGTTGCATATATATGTTTTTTACCTCCAGAACCAGAGTACATTATATTTATAGTCCTCATTCTGTGAGTCAGCTACTTTATAGTTAGTAACATATTGAGAGAATAAGGGTATTTTTATTGCTTTTATGTATTTCACTTAATAGGTGGTTAGGTTTCCTATTGCTATACCTTTCCTCACTTTTCATACATTTGATTTACCTATTTGGTGCTCCACTTATATTGACTTTTTTACACTGAAATCAGATTTGGTTCTCTCTAGTCACCAGAACAGCTACCGTTTATTGTATTTGCTCTGGTGAGTATAATCAGTCCCTTCAGAAGTTGCATTAAACACTGAACCTTCCTCATAGAGATGCATTAATTTAATGCTGATTGGCCAGGGTGGCGTTTGGCTTGACTCCCTGGTCCGCCTTATTGGCTGAGATTATAACAATTGACAATCTCAGCCAAGCCAATGCTTTCCTATGGGAAAGCATTGTGATTGGCTAAGATCATCAGTTCTGATGATGTCAGCCAAGGAGGCAGATTCAGGGCAGAGCCAGCACCAGCAGACTGGATTAAAGGTAATATTTTTACTAGATATGGAGGGGCAGGAGGGCTTGATAGTGTTTTAAACACTATAGAGTCAGGAATACATGTCTAGGAAAAGATAGAAATATATTTAATAGCTATTTTTCTTTAGTATATATTAAGGAGAAATCTATGATAGAGATGCACTATGTGGACAAAAGTATTGAGACACACTTCTTAATTACTGAATTCAGGTTTTTATTTTTCCACTTTCATTACTAGTGGTGGTGATGAACGAGATCTGTTTGTTTGTTTATTTGTTTGTTCGTTGTTTTTTTTTCTTCTTGTTTTTCCCCTAAATCCAAATTGTCCTTAAAAGTGGATGTTTCTCTCCACTGACTGCACCTGTGCTGTTGCAAGACCGTTAATAACTAGGACATTGTGTTTGCATTATGGAAGTCTGCTCCACATGCTAAGAGTTGAAGGTGTGCCCTGAGCCTGAAATAGGTATGTTGTCAATTGCCACTCAATTGCTCCTGACACCAGAACTACTCCAGTACAGGGCGCTGCTGTGGTGCTTGGATTAGTGTATTATTTTATTCATTATCCAATCACACAAGTCAGTTAGGAAAATCTATATCTTCTAGACAGACAGCTTCCTAATTTGGTCTCCCTTATATGGGATTGCCATATTTAAGAGTATAAGGAAGCAGTCCTGTTAGTAGATAAATCCCTAATTTAGTATCCTCAAACATGACTATCTCAAATATGGGTAATTATGTGTCAGGGAGGTATATCAAAATAGGGCTCACTCCCTAACAGGTAGTGGTACCCATCAATATGGCAATCCCACATAAGGGAACCACTACAAAATTAGGGAATTATCTAGTATCTGCTAAACACAGTTGAAATAAGATTAAAAATGGCTAATTTTGGCCATTCAGCAGCTTAGCAGAAAGGATAATTTGGTATCCTTATGTGGGATTGACATATTTAAGGATACCAAATAAGGGTACAAAACAGCTCCCTAAATTGATAATGGCTTCCTTAAATACTGGCAATCCCACATGAGGGATACCCTACTAAACACAGTTCCCCACCTAATTTGGTACTCTTATAAATATGGCAATGCTGCATAAGGGTAACAAATTAAGGGCATATCTCTGCTATTCTAGTAACTCTTAGAAAACCACAAGTGAAATATTTCCCAACAATTGTGGCATTTCATTTGCCAGAAAGGAATTCCTGAACCAAAAATAGTGTCCAAATTTCAGCCAAACCTATTGGCTGAAATTATTATTTATTTATTTATTGCTGTGCCCAAGTCTAGAAATACAGTGAGTAAAATGCAGTATTTTGGTCAATTAAGGGGAGGGGAGGCGGGAGGAGGCATTAAATACTTCTAATAACACTCTAGTATTAGGAATACATGTTAATGTGCCTAGCACTAAAAAGCTAAAGAGTGTAAAGTCAACTTTCTTTAAATTTATTTTGATGGGAGCCCAAACTATTCATGTGTACGTCCTTCAAGTTGAACCAAGTTCAAATCTCATTCCTTCGTAACCAAAAATTAGTCTCACTGCCAAGGATCGAATGGCATGGAGATCAGTTTTTTTCTGCAACTCATACTCTCACATCTTAAAGTTCACAGTAACATATAATATGCACATATCAGAAGCCCAGCAGATCATTAAGGAAGTTACCTTCTTGTACCCTTAGGAATTGAAGTAAGAAACCAGTTCAACTGATGGAAGTTGGATAGATCCTGAGGAGTCTGTGGTCTCCAGCCTGAATTTCCAAACTGGTAAAATTGAATTTCCTAATTTAGGGTCAAAACATCCAAGTTAGATAAATTCTCCAACCCATCTATTTTATCACCTTATTAATGACAATTAGGCTTCCGTTTAGGAAAGGTGTTTGAAATTTAACTTCAATGTGTATCAAATAAACGGTCTTGAGCTGAAAAGTAGCCATGTAGTAGATATTATATCTAGTGGGGCTTCACTATCTCTGTGAGAAGGTGAACAACTAGCTCTTTATACAGTGTGAAAGTGAACAGTCTGTATCAGAGCATGGAGTGTAAGCTGCAGGTGAGTCAGGTCTCTGACTGTGAGTGGGACTAGGAGACTTGCTGCAGTAGTGTTAATGGCAAATTCCATTATGACATCACATACAGCAGCTGCATTACATCATCACTAACACTTATACCAGGACTAACCATCTAATATGATAGGCAGTCCTTTTAGACAAGATATCTTCCATCGAAGAAACTGTAGTGACACAAGTGATTTCCTAATACAAATTAAAACAAGACTTTATTGAAAAAGGGTATTGTGAGAGAAAATGTGGTCTGGTAGTTGATGGCATATACATTAGGCCTGATTTACTGAACAGCAGCCTGAGGTTTGAGAGTTAAATCCCAGGGAGAGATGTTAGGTTTGCAAGATGCATTACTGGTACTCAAACCACGGTATGGGTCCCTGGGGCGGAGCAATTGGAGAGCAGGGTGGGCCAGTGCTCCAATAGCACCAGCTGCTAAGTAGCAGTTGGACCAGAACTTTTATTTTGCTTAGTAGTTTCACTTATGTCTAATTGCACCTCATCTGTATCTGATCAATTAGCTAGCAGGCTTTTAAAAGTAAGGGATCAGCATGCTGCAGAGTGAGTAGGAAAAGCCAGAGGAATGGTGTCTTGCAGTTATACTTTTTGTAAATTGGCAAGTGGGAAAGCCACCCAATTCCATATAGGGATTTGCTGTGGTGTGTTACAGTATGAAGAAGCTCATGTAAAATATGAGTTTAAATATGTTTTAGATATGCCAAGAGATTCTTTAATAAAGCATAAGAATAAAAGAAAATTTGATTTTAAGAATTAAATTCTATTAGTATGCCAATTTAACCAGAACAGCCATGTTTTTAAGAAAATCATCAAAAAAACATTGGCCAGTATTGAAACAAGATCTGGCTCTAAAAAGTTACTACCAGAACAGCCTAGCATAATATTCAAAGGTGCACCTAATTTTGAACAACTTTTAGTTAAGCCCTTATGGACACATGACATGTGTGACATGTCATGATTCCCTTTTATTCCTGAAGTTTGGTCCTTAAGGGGTTAAAACCATCTGAAAGAAAGATGTAATATACAAAATAATAATAAAAAGGTTTTTTTGGGGCATATTTGGGATATGCTTAGCCTGTAGAAATACAGGCAATATAAAAAGACACCAGAGGGGCGGGGCCTGACCAGCAAGGCAGCCAGACGTGCTGAAAGTGAGCTCCTCACAAAAATCTTGTAATCCAAACCTTTACAGTGGGATTATTGCCCCCAAATGACCACCAAACAGTTCATTATCTGTTCCAGTATGCAGGGGAGCTTTCTTGTGCGAGTCTGGAGCCTTTATTATCGACCTGCGGCTCGAAATTAAATTTGGGCCTACAAGCTTGAGGCGGGCCTTGAGGAGGGGAAGCAGCCATTCTCCCTCCTGGACCTTCTGCAATTACTGAAGAGGTTGCCCCGTTCACCCCCCCCCTTAGGACCGGTGGGGGTTATCCCGGTCCCCACCAGGGAAAAAGCAACAGCGGATCTTGTGGCGATACAGCTAAAGCTATTGGGACAGAGCACGACTGCATGGTGCTGTTAAAATGGCCGCCACAACAACCACACACTCAGCAAGCAGCTGGGAAGCCAAATTTACTGCTACCTTTGACGCGATCTGCGCAGCATTTTGGAGCCGACTGGAGGCCCGTCAAGCAGAACGGATACTCACCGTACCCTTGGTACCCACGGTACCCCCTGGGCCAGGAGTCACAATGGGCGCGGTGCCCGTCAAGCAGCCACACAAGAGGGAAACTGCCTGTGGTATGGAGAATCCCCAGGACGTCAACCCTTTCAAGGGAGCTGGAGGGGCTGGTGGTTCCCAGGCACCGGCTCGTCGGCCGACCCGGGTTCGGCGGGCGGAGCGGATGATGGAACGCCGCTCGATTGATCCATACAAAAATACAGTTCTTCATGCACCCGAGGGCCTCTTGACACAGAGGGGATGCTGGAGCAGAAACACCAAGCAAACCATGGAGAAGTGCAGAATTGGCTCCCAGAAGAAGCCTGCTTGTGGCATCGGCTAAGTAGATGAACTGCCTTACCATAAGCAAATAATCTGCAAGTGCCCCACACTAGCCAAGAATGTTATTCTGTTTATTCTGTTTTTGTTTTTTTTTTGTCTGTGATTCCTGTCACATGCTTCTCAATTTGCCACAGGCATTTAGTTGTAACGACATTACATTAAAGAGTCCCAGTGGCCACCACACTAATTTTAACACCTTTCCCATAACAACCTGGTGGATCTTCTCATGTGTTTCTCCTCATGCGTTTTTAGTTAAAAATTCATATGAAGCCTGCAATATCCAAGTCTGTCATTAGTCATGTTTTTTCTATTACTTTACATACCATAAAATGTGAAAGTCTTTTCACATGTCAGGTGGCAACTATGCGACAGTAGCTACAGCGTTTACTTCCATTTGACATGTAATAGTAAGCTTGAATACGTAACTTAACTTGTGAGAAAAAAAAAAAGTGCAGTTATCAATTACATGCCATACTAATCTGTTTATTGAAATGTTTATGTCTGCCGTTGTGGCATAGCAAGCATGATTGTTAATCTTTTTGCACAACAAAAATAAAGAATTAAAAAAAAAAAAAAAGACACCAGAAATTCATTTGTAATCCTTGGCTAGATAATAATAAGTTTTTTAATTCATGACACCATTGCGTGTTATACTACCAACCTTGTGTACCTACTTGTATGTCCATGTGGATTGGGTTATGTTATGTACGACGTACACATGCGTAACATAAAATAGGGATTTGAAGGACCCAGTGTGTCCCAACACTTAAAATTAAATGTAACAGCAATCCACAGGAACTGCAATTTGTAGGTATACAAAGTGTGGTAGGTGATTGGAGGGGTGGGGATACAATTAAAAAATTAGTTGAAAATTAAATGAAATGGATATTCACTTTGGACAGTTTACAACCTTCAGATATAAATGTAGATTTTGAAATATGCAATTTTTTTGTAATATCTCTGTTCACCCCCTTTTTTCTCTCTAAAACAGGTTTAATTTCCCCTGTGTTTATTTTAATAATTTTTATACCCATTGCCTTTTAATCATTTATCTGTAATAGCCTATATAATTTTATCAGCAATAATGACCATATTCTTATATATATGTTTGCGCACTCTATGGGGCCATATATTTTCATAATTATATGCAAGACCACTTACTGTTATTTCACATATATATTATTCTTATTATTATAGCCAAATTTACCACCCTAACTCCTCCCACAGTTTTTACACTACATAGACAGTAATATACGTGCGGATTGTTCCCGATTGGTGTGCTATTACTTTGTGGAACATTTCGCGGAATGGTTCACGAAATATCGTCGTTTTTGTGGCGAAATTGGTCCCATAGGAATGAATGACGGAATGTTCAAAACTAGAGTGGGAGCTGACAAAAGCTAGAGTGTCAGCTGAAAAATCAGGACATGATTTCTAAACTGCCACCACTCCCTCATTTTCAAGCCCACCTACACAAATCTTATATCAAAACGTTCAGCTATCCCTGCTGCCACAAAACATGTCCAGTTAGTTTTCACAATATGACCATTTGTTTGCAACTCACGCTGTACATTGACATTCATTGAAACTCTACTCTAGCCACCTCAAATTTGAATGGGAATATCCAAACTGCGACTGTGCCTTCATTGTTAATATTTCAGAGACATACTATAAAAATGTAGGTCTGGGTCTTGTGATTCTCACAATATAAAGCTCTTCACTGTAGGATTTATAGTTTTTAAAATACGACCGTTTGAAGATGGCAACCGCCAGTGAAGTGAGCAATTTGGAGCAGTTTGTTTTTAACCGCTCTTCTCTGCCCTATTTGAAATCCATTAGTTCCTGTTGGCAGTTGGTGGAATGTTCGAAGGATTTGAAATGGCGGCTGCAGAAACTCTGTGTAACAAGGCAGCAATATGAAGATGCTGTTATATATGTGTAACCCTTTTTTGCCCTGCTCCTGGCAACAAGCCGTAGCTAGCAGCAGTTACACCTTCTTCTGTCACTGACAGGGATCCTGAGCCTCCGCTATAGGTGGGCGATCGGGACATCTTGTTCTGACACAGTGCCTCCACTCAGTGCAACTTCTATTTATGGGGAACCCACCCCACTGAGTAGATGAGTACCCTCCACGTAATAACTCAGAGACATGAAATAAATACAGACATGGAAATACACACTGTATTGTGGTTGAAGAGATACACATATAATAGCAGAAACAACAATGCAGTTCCTGGCTAATGTTAAATGATGATAAAGTCCCTGATACTGTCACAAGAGTCTTTAGCAGCAGGAACGCAAACAACAAACTTCCCTTAATAACATCAATAACTACATCTGAACAGTTAAACTCCTATGTACCTGCCGGTAAATTATGTGCACAACGTTGGGGCCCTTAGGTGTAGGTAGCGCTACCCAGATACAGTTACAAGGGAGAATCCTAAAGCAATCTCTGGAGACAGGGCCATTGAGTGACTTCTGTAACTGCAGATATCTCCAGAGAGATCCAGCAGAATGTAGGACAGCAGCAGAACAGCAATGGCAATCCTTTCTCTTCCTTCTGCTGACAGGATGCAAGAGCTCATTCACACTGCTGCAGAAAGTTCCAGAATCTGGAGGGAGCTGAACATTAAATGACAGTCTTCTAATCAGGGCCGGACTGGGAAAAAAATTCAGCCCGGGCATTTTTTTATCACAGCGGCCCACTAAGAAGGGGGCGGGGCAGAGAGGGTGTGTTTTGTCATCACTCATGACAAGCACGCCCCCTCTCAAAGTGAGCATGTTGGTTCAATGCTCTTCCAGGGCAGACCATGCGCAGAGCTCTGCTGAAGAGCTCTAGCATGAGAAAAAAGCTCTGTATTTGTTCTGCACAGTGCAAGCAAATTTAATAACATGCTTGCACTGTGTTTCCTTGTCTCTGGTGTCTCTATAAATGGATACCAGGAGACAAAAGGGCCAGGAAAGAGTATTGTGCATGTGTTTGGAGCCTGTTTGTGGTATTACGTTTGTGCAGAGTGAGCTGGTCATGGTGTGGTATTGTGTAATAAGGTCTGTTTTAGTGTGTGTGAGTGCTGTGTATGATGTGTGATGTGTGTGAGAGTGATGTGTGAGAGTGCTGTGTGTGAGTGTTGTATGTTATGTGTGTGAGTGCTGAGTGTGATAGTGCTGTGTATGAGTGTTGAGTGTGATAGTGCTGTGTATGATGTGTGTGAGTGCTGAGTGTGATGTGTGTGAGAGTGATGTGCCTGAGTGCTGTGTGTGAGAGTGTCGTGTGATGTGTGTGAGAGTGCTGAGTGTGAAAGTGCTGTGTGTGAAAGTGCTATGATGTGTGTGTGAGAGTGCTGCGATGTGTGAGATTGCTGTGTATGATGTGTGTGAGAGTGCTATGATGTGTGTGAGAGTGCTATGATGTGTGTGAGAGTGCTGCGATGTGTGAGATTGCTGTCTATGATGTGTGTGAGAGTGCTGTGTGTGAGAGTGCTATGATGTGTGTGAGAGTGCTGCGTGTGATGTGTGTGAGAGTGCTATGATGTGTGAGAGTGCTGCGCTGTGTGTGAGAGTGCTGTGTGTGAGAGTGTTGTGTGTTGTGAGTGCTGGGTGTGATAGTGCTGTGTGTGAGAGTGCTGAGTGTGAAAGTGCTGTGTGTGAGAGTGCTATGATGTGTGTGAGAGTGCTGTGTGTGAGAGTGCTATGATGTGTGTGAGAGTGCTGTGTGTGAAAGTGCTATGATGTGTGTGAAAGTGCTATGATGTGTGTGAGAGTGATGTGTGTGAAAGTGCTATGATGTGTGTGAGAGTGATGTGTGTGAAAGTGCTATGATGTGTGTGAGAGTGCTGTGTGTGAAAGTGCTATGATGTGTGTGAAAGTGCTATGATGTGTGTGAGAGTGCTATGATGTGTGTGAGAGTGCTGCGTGTGATGTGTGTGAGAGTGCTGAGTGTGAGAGTGCTATGATGTGTGTGAGGGTGCTGTGTGTGAGAGTGCTGTGTGTGAGAGTGCTGAGTGTGAGAGTGCTGGGTGTGAGAGTGCTGGGTGTGATGTGTGTGAGAGTGTTGTGTGAGTGCTGAGAATGCTGAGTGTGATAGTGCTGTGTATAAATGTTGTGTGTTGGGGGGTAAATAAACAAATAAAAAATTAAGTGGGGGTAAATATATAAAAAAAATAAATAAAAACTAAGCAAAAAAAAAAACTAAACCCCCCCCCTCCCTTCTTACCTTTAGCCTGGGAGGGGGGGACAGGCACGTGGTAGCTGGGAGGGGGGGCACCGGCACTCACACACCATCCCTGGTGGTCCAGTGGTGAGTGAACTGTCTCGCGAGATCGGGGCGTTGCCATGGCAACGCTCCGGATCTCGCGAGAGAAACCCGGCGGAGCTGCAAGACAGAGCTCCGCCGGGTCCTCTCCCTCCCCAGCCGCAGGTCTATTTAAATGGGCCGGTGAGGGAGATCTTTGATCTCCCCATCGGCCCTCCATGGAAGACAGCGGGGCCGGCGCTCGGATAGTGCCGGCCCTGCATAGACCGGCAGGGGAGATCCTGGGACCTCCCCTGCCGGCCTCGGCCCCACGGCCACCGCGGCCCACCGGGCATTTGCCCGGTGTGCCCGATGGCCAGTCCGGGCCTGCTTCTAATTCTCCTAGCAGAGCAGTAGACAGTCTCCAACTTCTTGTAGTTGCAGTGCACTAGCCTTCCCCTGTTATTATTTCACTGTCCCAGCAGTATTAGACCATTGAAACAGTTAGGGACACACTTTCTTTAAGCAGACTCGGAGAACATGGCTTCTCCCCTGTCCTCTTCTTCCTGCTATCCTGTCCCCTCCTCCTCACATGACAGGGCAAGGGCAAAGTTCAATATCTCAAAACCCAAAGCAAAACAGTAAAATATAGCAGTCTGTTACATATGTATTAATAAAGTGAGCACTTTGTTATACAGGAATTATTGACTGATTTGTACAAAACATCACAGTGGCAGCAGGGATAGCTGAATGTTTTGATATAAATTGGTACATTTATATCCCTACATGGCAAGACCACCTACTATTATCTCACATATATATTATTATTCTTATTGAGCAATTTAGAGCAGTTTGTTTTTAATTGCTCTTCTCTGCCCTTGCTGTACAGTGAGTGAACCACACTCCAACCTCTCCACAGTTACTCCAGCCACTCCAACCACACAACAGTTACTCAAGCCACTCCATCCAGTTACTCCACCCACTCCAGTTGTAGACTACTGGTGGAGGCAAGAATACTTCACACAATTTCTACACTAGCCATTAGATATGCTGATATCAGCCAAGAATCTCCAGTAAGACAGGAAGGGGTATTTTATAAACCCTTTCATATTTAACCCTTTATAGGGCTTCTACACATACAATAAACTTTGCTGGTATTCTTGGCTGATATCAGCATATCTAATGGCTAGTGTAGGAACTCACCTATTGAGGCTTGCCTTGACGTGGCAGGTGAGCTTATATATTCAAATGGCCATTGGAATAAAACTAAAGAGCCTCCATTTTGTTTAAATGTACATGGGGATTTAGGCCAGAGCGCAGGTAACGTTCTCTTTGACTTCACACAATTTCCCTAGAAATTGTGGCTTTTCTAGTTTTTTTTTATAATTTTGTACCCTCTTTTATATTATTGTATTTTTATTTTATTTTCCTATAAATACATGTTACCAGTATTATTCTATATTACTCCATTTAACTGCATATTTATTATTACTGTCTATTAATAGAATGCCCTGTAGGTGCATAAGTATACACATTATTTGCTCCTTGCTTTATTGTGGGGATTTTTTTTATTAATAAAGATTGTTCTTATATTCTTTTCCCTCAATTTATATAATGGCACTATATGTCATGCCCAACTCCAATATGGAGGTTTGTGCCTTAAGAGGTGTGTTCACTATGAGAGATTGAACTGTATGGACTGCTACCGAACGAGTGACAAAACTGAAAGTGAAGTATTGACATGTTAGCGACATCACAGATTGTTATAAGACACTTCTGCTTATTTAGCACTAGCACTAGTTAGCTTCCATGTTTGAATTAATGTAGGATCCACCGATATTGGGGTACTGTGATGTAGTAGTAGGCTTAACACAATATGGCCATATGGTGGAACTGAATCCCCATATTTGTTTGCTGAGATAGGTGATTTTAAGCAGCCTTATAAAATTTTAATGTGTGCGTTGTTCCTTAATCTGTATCATGTATGAATTTTGGTCACTACGGCAGCATCATTCCTGCAAAATGCATGTTTACAGTGTGCCCCCAATTAATTATTTTCTTTACCATTTAAAACAAGGACTGTATATCATTTATGTTTATTGCTAACTGAACTCTATTTCCGGCAAAACGCTTTTTAGCATAATTTACAAACTATATAGTTGTTCTTACTTCACCTTTATTGGTTTTAATATATGAGTATTGATAAAATATTTTCATATAATATCGCTATAGTATATTTAACAATATCCAGCATCTTCATCTACTGGTATACAGTTGTGGGTAATGTCACCCCATAAGTGACACCAAGCTTATACACAGACAGAGACCATTGGGCTCTTACCAAGGTGAGCACATCCTGCTCTTTTCTTGTTGCCAAGTTGTCTCTACAATCTGCACTATTCTGCATTTTTTGTTTCATCTCCCTTTGAGTGTGGTTACCTACCAGAAGTAAGGTGTGCTGCTACCTGCAAAGGCAAACCTGTGTGAAAATTGGGCCTTACCATTATCAGACTCGACCTCATGTGAGTGTTCCTAGTTATCTGGATTCCATCAGTATTGTTCTTTTTGTTTTTTTCACATGTGCTGCTTTTTTAACTCCTATATACCACTATGATTAAAAGGTAAGATATACATCTTTAGCGCTCCACTATTAATAGGATTTTTCCCTCATAAGTATACTAGGTAGCAATAGTTGGTCTGAATGTATTATATCTGGTGGAGCTTTACTATCTCTACACAGTCTGTAACAGAGCATGGAGTGTAGGCTGCAGGTGAGTCAGGTCTCTGGCTGTGAGTGGGACTGGGTGATTTGCTGCAGCGGTGTTACTGGCAAATTCTATTATGACATCACATACAGCAGCTGCATTACATCATCACTGTCACTAAGACCAGGACTAACCATTTAATATGAAGGGTACATGGTCAGTCCTTTTAGACAAGATTTCTGCCACTAAAGAAACTCTGATTGTAAAGTCCACTTGCTGAATAATATTATAAATACAATGCCCTCATATATCCATACATTTGCCAGTTTAAGTCATAAGTAGTGTTACTATTATTATTATTAATATTATTTATAAAGCGCCAACAAATTCTGCAACGCTGTACAATGGGAGTGCTAACAGACACGTATTTGTAACCAGACAAGTTGGAAGCACAGGAACAGAGGGGTTGAGGGCGCTGCTCAATGAGCTTACATGCTAGAGGGAGTGGGTTATAGTGACACAAAAGGTAAGGGTGATGATGATTCTCGCTGCTGCATTCATTATAGACTGTAACTGGGCAAGTCGGGAAAACGTAAGAACACTGAGTAGCAGATTGCAGTAGTCAAGGCGAGAGACGACAGTGGAAAGGATCAGCACAATGGACTGTTCATGCAGTGCTTTCCTTTCCGTTGCTGTTTATTTAACTGATTGATCTTTTTACATTGTGTGACAATGCACAAGGAAACATTTTTAGGTTTCCTAATTTTTTTTTCAAATTTTTTATTTGCACAATAAATATATTTCATGATCAAAATAAATATATATTTTTTTACATACAGTTTATTAAAGTGTATTAATCTCCCCAGCTAATACATAGAATCGTCTTTGGCACCGGTTATAGCTTTGAGATGAGGGATTAAAATATTTGAAATGTTGAAAAAAGATGAGGGATTAAAATATTCCAGTGTAAAGCACTATTCCTCTCCTCCACCTAAACATCGGTATAAAAAATCTAGAACATGCATAGCAGTGTGAATAAATGTTACAAGAAGGCATAGCATTAACATTAGGCATAGTATTTAGAGTTAGAGATGTTAACTTTATTTGTTTTATATGCATTACAGCAAACAGTATGAAATGGATAATTGGCATTTCTTTACTAATACTAATAACTCAAACACAATATATACTACAATCAAATACAATAAAATAGCTGCAGCCTGCATATTTTTCTTTTGCACTGGGTTTCTGGTAGCAAAATATTTTGATACATGTTCCCTGTTGCATGAATGGTGGCTGATTCATATTTCTCACTATAAATCTTAATCAAGGGGACTGACAAAATGATGTGTGAAAAGCTGTCTATCCAGACATCAAGATAAGGAAAGCAGTCCGCTCTGATAACCAGTGGGGGTACCACTTTCTAATTAAATGCACAATATTAGAAAAAATACTTAAAGATTGTCCAAGAATAAAAAAAAAAGTGGGTTCAAATCAGACACTAGTTTTAGGCATATAAAATTTAAAAGATTCCATTGAGTATCACAAGGCTCTGTATTGGAGTTATTCCCTCCATGATATGCCTGACTGCATGCCAAGCCAGTACAGCAGTCGTGCATGTAGTATTGTGTGGTGCAAAGTCATTTAAACAGTAATTGTTCAGCTCTTACGCATTTCACGAGTTGCACTCACTTCATAAGGGAGAAGTGATTCATAGTAGAGAATAACCTGGTAAGTGTTAAGCCTGCCCACTCTACGGTCCAGTAAAATGCATTTTTATTCACTCATTTTGTGTCTTTGTTAGGGTGTTGACTTCTATCTTGCTAAGGTTCCTTCACAGTACCTGACAGTTTTTGTTCTAGCAGATGAGTGCATTTTTGCTAATCCTCAAGCAAAATATAGTCTGTTGGACAAATGGCTAAATTATCCTCCATTAAAAACTAAGTGACTTTAATTTAATCCCTTGTGAGCTTTTTCTTTTTTCTTTCTTTCTTAAGATCATCAGCTGCATTTGAATGGAGCTGAATTTATCATGTCACCATTTGGTTTGATACTTTGTCCTAGACCAGGGGTCAGCAACATATGGCACATATTCCATCCATGGCACTCAAGGTTGCCATAGCCAAACATAGACTTTATTTATCAACTACAGCAACCAGAGCCGACTTTAATACCGGCCAAAGGGGGCAGCTGCCCCGTGCCCAGTTTCTCATGGGGGCCCAAAGCAGCTAACCTGAGGGCCCTGCTGCCCTCTACTATTTATTGTTTTCCCCCATGGGCCCTCGGTGCAGCCGGGGGCCCGCACAATAAGAAGGCCCACCGGGTAGCCAATGCACTAACGGCTACCTGGTGGACTTTTGTAAGCAGAAGCCCAGTTGCACGCTGTAGCCCTTTAACAGGTTGCATGCGACTGGCTGCATGCTTTTCAGCAGCGCAGGGAGGAAGTGACGGCCATGTGTCACTTCCTCCCAGTGAAAACACAGAGCCACGAGCGAGAGATCAAGGAGGCAGTGAGGAGGGGGGCTGGGCCGGAAGAACCAGCCCCTAACTCACAACAGCTTCAGCCACCACTTTGGAAACCAGAATGAGCTGAAGTGTTCTGTGTCCCTTTAAGCACACACTCTGACAGACACACACATTAACTGACAGACACACACTGGCAGATACGCACTGACACTCACACACACTCAATGACAAACACACAGACGTCACTGACTACACAGACTCACTGATCTGACACACACTCATTCCTTAACAAACATACACATGCACACTGACAGACACACACTGACAGACAATCATTGAAAGACACACACTGACAGTCACACAATGACAAACAGACACTCACTGATTTGAAAGACACTCACAAACACAAACACACACATACCCATACACACACATACACACACAGTCACACACATTCATACACATACACAGACACACCCATACACTCACACTCAAATACACTCATACACTCACATGCACATACATTCACAGACACACACACAGACACACTCATAAACATCAGTCAAGAGCCGGAATTACATCATATGGAATTACATCATAACGGTGTGCAAGGGAGCAGAGCCTTTGATCCTAACACAGCCGCACGCCAGGGGTTCCTTAAGGTGGCCAGCAGGCCACCTTATGGACCCCCCCATGACAGGGGAGAACAACAGGGACGGGGAAGCATTCTTTGCCCCCCCTGGTTAGTGCCGCCCAAGGCAAATGCCTAGCTTGCCTTGGGCTAAATACAGCAGTGGCCCCACACATACACACCACAAAACATACAATGTGACATATCATCCAGACACACAATTCCACAGGCAGCCATCATACGCAGCCCACATTCATAGGTATCATACACAATACTAGAAACTATTCATAAAAATATACAAGATAACAGCCCACATACACACAAATGCAAAGTGTGCTTCATTTCCAGTGATCAAAGCAATTTTCCCACAATTCTCACCTTTGATCCGTGATCTCGTGAAGCTTCCTGGCAACAGAAATGGCTAACGCAAACATTTACCTCCTCCCGAAATCAGACAAAACACATGACGAACCAGGCCACTTCCGCCCGATATCACTCCTAAATGTCAACCTCAAATTATGACCAAAATTATGGCAAATAGACTCAACCCATACTTAGAAACGCTAATACATCCGGACCAGCTAGGATTAATTCCCAAAAGGTAAGCCATGGACAACACCAATAGAGCAATTGACGTAATCTGGTTCACCCAACACTGACGCATTCCGACGACCATCATATCACTCGACGCAGAGAAGGCATTTGATCGCCTTCTCTGGCCTTTCTTATTTCAAACCCTCAAGCACTTTGGCTTCCCCCCCAACTCATAACATTCCTTGAGACCACTTACCGCCTATCATGGGGAGCTCTCCTGCTGTCCAACATTACACCATCCCACTTCACAATCATGAACGGAACCAGGCAGGGATGCCCACCATCCCTCTCCTATTTGCTCTGTCCCAGGAGCCATTGTTGGAGGCAATCCGTTCCACTCTCGAAATCGAAGGAGTAACAATCAGGTGTCAACCCTACAAAGTATCTGTTTACGCAGACGATATACTGCTAACTTTAACTAACCCAACCACCACCATAGAGGAGCTATTAAAGGGATACTATAGTCCCACAGACCACTTCAGCTCAATGAAGTGGTCTGGGTGCCAGGTCCCTCAGGTTTTAACCCTTCACATGTAAACATAACAGTTTCAGAGAAACTGCTATGTTTACATAGCAGGGTTAATCCAACCTCTAGTAGCTGTGTTCCTGACAGCCGCCAGAGGCACTTCTGCAACGTTGGATGCGAAATTTGCATCCAACGTGCAGAATGTCCATAGGAAGGCATTGAGAAATGCTTTCCTTTGGACTGTTGAAATGCACGCGCGGCTCTTGCCGCACATGCGCATTCCGCTCCACTCAGGAGCTGACATCGGCGGAGGAGGAGAGGTCACCAGCACCGAGGGAACCTGGCGCTTGATTAAGGTAAGCTGCTGAAGTGTTTTTAACCCATTCAGTCCAGTGGGAGGGGGACCCTGAGGGTGAGGGTCCCTCAAGGATGACAGTGTCATGAAAACGAGTCTGTTTTCCTGACACTATAGTGATTCTTTAAACCCAATACGTGCTTTCGCCAATATCTCTGAATACAGAATTAACCTAACAAAATCCAAAATTTGACCAATCCACTTAGACCACAACACCCTAGCCCACTGTTACGGTTCATCCCGTGCCATCCAGAAGGCTAGGTGTGGTCACCCCTCAGGTGCCTTACAGGGGATTTGATCCTGGGTCCTTCAGTATCCTGTGCCTGCTTTCCTGCCTCTGAGTCATAGCTGAACTTATTCTATTGTGTGTGTTCTAGCCCTGTTTACCTTGCCTTGTCTGCAGCACTAGGGGGCTGGACATCTCCTTTCCCTTTAAGTCCACCTGAAGCAACTTGCTCATTATCCAGGTATATAACTGCCTCTCACTGAGGGCAGTGTCAGTTCATTGTTTCCTGTTCCTCTAGCTGTTGCCTATTTTCCCTGATTTCCAGATAGACTTGGCTTGTGACTCCTGCTTTTGGATATTTCATTATTGTTTGTTCACTGCCTGCCCTGACCTTTGGAACCATGTCTGACTACCCTACTGGATTTGGCCTTGTCTGTTTCTGCCAAGCCCCTGTGCACAGATTCACAGCCCAGGTGGCTTCTTACCTGGTTACCGCGGGCTGTGATTATCTGCAAGGGTGAGCTGACATCTCTACACTATGGACTCCAACCAAGGTAAGCCCTTGCACCCACCTCCGCAACATATTTCCCCCTAACTATTGGTGATTCCTCTATAGCATATCTAGGCATCAGATTATCCACAAAAGTGGAATCTTTGTAGTAAGAAAATTATGTCCCACTCTTATGCACACGCAGATCTAAAAAAATGGGACAAACTAGGGATATCATTGATGGACCAGCTACCTCCATATGAGTAATCATAAATAATTATAAGTCTCCCCAAGACTATTAGTCACACATGAACTTATACAAACACCCAGAAAAGCAATATGCGCACTGAAGAACCATCACCCACACGCCCCGACCCCGCCCTACCTTACTCGGGGGGGAGGAAACAGGCTCCGGCGGCAAACCTACCCACTCTTTATCACTCTTTATTCCTTTGTAACCCTCCCAAGCTCTCACGTATTCACCACTGAGGACCCCTATATTACCCACACAGGACACCAATAGGACGACATAAGACAGAAAAGTAATACACACAACCCGACAAACACCCAACAGAGTTAAAAAACTCTGTCACATTCAGACACGCTGCCATGAAGCACAAACACACTGGCACATTCACGCACAATCACATATTCGCTAACACTACCAAAGAGCACAAATACACCACCACATTCACAGAGAAAGCCACACTACATAAATCATCCCACATTCACACACTGCCACACTGCACAAATCACCCCGAACATTCACAGCAAAGGCCACATTACACATGTCACCCCTATATTCACACAGCACAAATCACCCTGAACATTCACAGAGAAAGCCACACTACATAAATCATCTCCACATTCACACACTGCACAAATCACCCCCTGAACATTCACAGCGAAGGCCACATTACATATGTCACCCCCACATTCACATACTGCCACACATCACCCCGAACATTCAGCAAAGGAGGACATGTGGGCAGTCAGGAACCAGTTGGGACATAAGTGGTCAAACCTAGTAGCCCAGATTGACTACTGCAGGGTCCTTCATCATGTGGCAAGTGGCCAAACCTGTGCCAGCCAATAACATTTGAAATTACACAGAGATGCTAACAATCATACTGTGCAGTTGTTATGAAGAATAAGTAAGAAAGTTAAACACAATCTGGACTGGAGATTGTTTTCAAATTGAATCATATGTTTATATAACAAACAGATATTTTGGAGATCGTTTGTGCATTTATTCGGCAATAACCATGCGAGTGTGCAGCTTTGCTTCCCCCTACTGGCTAAACTATGTAAATACTAAATGAACTTGAAGAAATGAATGGGGCTCCGATAACCAATCCGATATCCAAAAAGCAAATGACACGTGATAGCGAGGCTTGGAACGCAAACTCCCCCTTTCCTTTGGCACAGGTTGTAGAATATGGCCGCGTCCGTGCTATGTGCTGGCACTGTGAGCAGGTATGGTCAAGTTTCGCTTTTAGAGTAATTTGCAACTCCTTACATATTAACTTATTTAGCTTCGTAAAAAAATGGTTTATTAATTTCCCTGGAATTATGCAATAAAGTGTACAGAGCACAAACTAGTTACCAAAGCATGACCATGCAGACTGAATGATACATTATATATCGCCTTCTAATTAATGTAATTAACCGGTAGGACTGGGTTTAAAATGTTTAGGGTTTTTGTTATTTCAACAACAGTTACACTATGCCAGTATTAATTCAATGCAAACTATTCATCCATGTAGATATTTTCCAGGACCCCTTTTGCTTTTAGCATGTTTATGGGCAGTACCCTGCAGGATCCTTCTTTGAATGAATGTTCTGATTCCCTGACTGCAGCACAGGAATTACACATACTCCTGCACACACAGCACGTATTTTGTGGTGTCCATTAATAAGGAGGCTAAAGTTGGCTTCTAAATCAGCCACCTTCCTATTTTGTAAAGTTGGTTGCTTATTCAGACTTTTATTTGGCAAGTGATTCTAATCTTAACAATAAATCCTATAAACAATATTTGTTTTTGTTGAATAAAAATACACTTTACAAAGTGTAACTTACTATAACAATAAATTATGTATTTAGTTAATATTCTTAAAGAAAAAACACATTAAGAAAAGTAAATACAAAAAATATATATACTTGTATAGATATAATGTACCACTATTATAAATTATATATTAATTGCCTAGGTGGATGTGATGACTTAAAGGTAACCTGTCATACCAACAAATGCTGAGTTGGAGTATTTTATTAAATCTGCAAGTTTTGCCCAAAATTAGCATTTTTATATTTAGTGGCTGTTTTTATTTTTTTGTTTTTTTTCTTCCCACTTTCTTGATCAAACACCAACAATCTGTTCATTTATACACAGGGTGAGTTCTGTCCTCCAGAGAGATGTCAAGCAATTTGGCAAGCAGTTTCTGTTTGACAATAAAGAGGAGACCTGCTGGAACTCAGACCAGGTATGGAGCTACATATATTATTGCTTTACAAGGCATGTCAGAAATGCACATACACAGGGAAATTGAGAATGTAGGATGGTGTGCATGCAAGGTAGATTGAATAGGTAACACTTCCAGTCAGTCTTTCTATGTGACTACCTTGCTTAAAGGGACACTATAGTCACCAGAACAACTACAGCTTATTGGATTTGTTCTGGTGAGTAGAATAATTACCTTCAGGCTTTTTGCTGTAAACACTGTCTTTTCAGAGAAAATGCAGTGTTTATATTACAGCCTAGTGATAACTTCACTGGCCAATCCTCAGATGGCTGTTAGAGATCCTTCCTGGGTCATGGCTGCCTAAAATGCATCCAAACATTCAGTGTCTCCTCCCTCAGCATGCAGACACTGAACTTTCCTCATAGAGATTCATTGATTCAATTCATCTCTATGAGGAGATGCTGATTGGCCAGGGCTGTGTTTGAATTGTGCTGGCTCTGCCCCTGATCTCCCCCCTTGTCACTCTCAGCCAATCCTATGGGGAAGCATTGTGATTGGATCAGGCCATGATGTCAGCAGACAGGTTACTATTTTGAGTCAAACAGCATGCAGAGCTACAGCGCCAGGCTTGAATACAAGTAAGATTTTGCTATATTTAGGGAGCATGAGGGGCCAAGGGGGGCTAGATGGTGGTTTTAACACTATAGGGTCAGGAATACATATGTGTTCCTGACCCTATAATGATCCTTTAAATTAAATACACTCCAGACTTCTAAAGCGATTCAGCTTGCTGAAATGCTTTGTTTAATTTTACAAAAAGTGCAGATTTCATAGAAATTGGCACTTTTATATGTTCATCTTGTTACATCCACAAGACAACAGATCCTGTTACTTTCTGGTTGCTTAGCTCAGTGGATCTAAACTCATGAAGCACCATTTGTCCTCAGTACCTGCCTAGCAATGACTTCTCACTAAGCTATATTGGAAACTCTGTGATCGGACAGCAACAGAAAGTCTGGGATGGGTAAGAAGGGGAGGACTTGCAAATGCTTTAGACAAGAGATCTGCGGTTTTTGCAAGCTGTTTTTAGATATAACCCCAGTTGAAAGATTAAATGTATGCATGTTTTAATATCTACTAAGAAGTGATCTTTATTTATTTTTGTTGTGGGCAGGGGAGTGTCTCTTAAGTGCAGCATGTTTAATAATACATTTGTACTGCACTTTCTTATTGTCTTTGGTGCTTTTAAAAGGGGTCACACGAGAGCCCACTGTGGAACATGTGCCCCAAAAACCTGACAAATGTGTTTTTTGAATATAGAGAACATTCCAGGCACTCCAATGAATTCCAAACAAGGCAGTTTTTATTGGAACCAGAGAACAGAAATTTGTGTTTTGTGACAAGTTTGGAGGTATATACCGGGTAGCTATGACTATTACTGATTTGGTATAAATTTGTGTGTATGCAGTGGTGTATCCTGGTTTTGTGCTGCCCTAGGCAGGACATACAGGGACGCGCGAGGGAGCTGAGCAGACCGCTCAGAGGAAGTGCTCCCTCGCCAGCTGCCCGCACAGCAGCCAGGGCCACCCATCAGCCAGCATGTCTGTTAGCCGCGAGGCTAACAAGACATTTGCCCTGGGCATTTGGGGGGGCGGTGTTTTTTGCCGCCCAAGGCAAATGCCTTGTTTGCCTCGCGGCTAATACGTCCCTGTGTGTATGTATTATTACCCGGCTGCATTTACAAGGATCACTGTTAATTTTCTGTTGTATTTTAGTATGTTTTTAGTTCAAACTGGTGTGGTCCAAAACTATGCTTTCCTAGCTCATTGAGCAGGGCCCTCAACCCCTCTGTTCCTGTGTGTCCAACTTGTCTGGTTACATCTACATGTTTGTTCGTCCACCCACTGTAAAGTGCTGCGGAATTTGATGGCGCTATATAAATATCATAATCAGACCAATATTCTATTCAGTGCATTTGGACTTGGCTCATGATATAGCTGTTTTGATTATTTATTTATTTTATTTTTTTTAATTTATTTATTTTATTTTTTTATGAATTGAGCTGATTATAGTAGCACAGAAAGCTGTGAGACAGCATAAAAAGCAATTATGGATTTTTTTTTTTTTTTAAGTGTTGCATACAACAAAGTGTGGTACTATCCTGTTTTAATACTATATTTTATTGACTGTTTTATTTGAAGTGGTTGTGAACTCTCACCAATCGTTATGCTTTTAAAATATAAAATGATGTGTATATATAAAATGTGTTTATAGTTCTGCTTGTACTGTCCGTCTAGAGAACACTAACCAAGGCTCCTGATATCTAACTCTCCGCACCAGTTCATGTGAGCTCTAAAAAATAAAATAAAAAAAATTAAAAAAAAGTACATTGTGCTGAAAACAGGATCCCCCTAAAGTACACACACTTACTCTGCCTAATGGGTAATCTGGCACTCTGTACATAGATCAACGGCACTGTTATCCTTCATCCAGTGTGATAATTGTCCTTGTATATCTAATATCCCCAATATGTTTTTCCAGGGATCATCTCAGTGGATCACACTAGAATTCCCACACAACGTCCTGGTTTCCCAACTTCATATCCAATTTCAGGGAGGCTTTTCAAGTAAAACCTGTATATTGGAAGGTGAGTTGCCAATCATGTTAGTAACATAAGCTTCTGCAAGGTATGATGTGTACTGTAACCAAATCCCCATTGTTTTTGCATCAGTCCAGTGTTTTTAAAGTGTGTTTTTTTTTTTTGTTTTTTTTAAAGCTCTTAAATAATTCTGTAGATATTGAAACAAGTGTAAAGTTGAGTGAGTGTGCTACTGTTAGCACCTTTTCTCCATTGGTTCCAGCAATTCTGATGACTTTTTTGTACATTCAGATGCTTCAGAGATATGACAAATTCACCACAATCTTTCAGTTCTGTTATTCTCTACAAGAATCAATTGTAAAAAATGTAGATGAATGGTGAATGGAAGTTCATGTAGACTCTTTCTTAATTTCTTCTTGTCTTCAGTTGATTTATATATATATACGTCTTTTGTATATATATTCTTGGGCCAAATGCTCGCCACAATAATATATGTCTATATTATTGAAAAGTAGTAATACGCAATCTAACTTACGGTTTCTTCTGGTTTATTCTTTGTTACGGATACATAATAAAACATAATAAATAATGTTACAGGATAATGTACATTCAACAGCAGATGGTAATTGCTGGACTTCTGATGGGAGAGTTACATCGTTGTACAGAGCCAAGCCAAGAGTGAGACTAGACCTCGTGTCCCTCTGTTACTATATAGATGTGCTAATACTAACGTCAGCATATAACTCTAGCCATATAAGGACAAGACCCCCACACCCACATTCCAGAGCTCTCGGACAAAGAAAGCCTTGTGACTTATTGATACCATCTGTTACTTATGTCAATCCACACATCCATATATAATCAATAGAAACATAGAATATGCAATATTCTACATTCCCTCTGTTTATGGTTTGTTTTAAAACCATAACACAATGTATATAACCTGTCCATTCATACATCACTTGTATCACATTCATTGAGCATAGAACAAGATGTAGTCACAATTTTCTATTATATGAGAGTTCTTAGAAGGTCGAGTTTCTATCCCTCATACTGCTTACTTTACTTCAAAACTCCCTCTGTTTCAGCTATGTATTGATATCCATATCCATGTTACATCATAACTACTTGAACATAATATATACATATAACAATAATAAATGAATAAAATAAAATATTTACAAATGTTGATCCAATAAACAATAAAGCAATCAGAAAGATCTACCTGCTCAGGTACAGTCATATCTTTGTAGATAACAAAATTAAGATGATAATTTCTAGATAATAACTGTGTATCACTACCATATTCCTACAGACACATATAGCATAGTATTTTCATTCTTAATACCTGATATTACTTGAGTACTAATACATGTATTACTATAATATACGTCCAATTATATTTCCATGAATCATATGGTTTCTAGCAACCTTAAAATCTTTAGGTCATTTGTATTCATGAATTACATTCCTATACCATTAATACCACCTAGTGATGATTGTATCAGTACTTTACAATCATAGTATTTAATTTGAATATTCAGTAGGCTTTCACTACCTGAAATATACCAACACTACTTATAAGTCTCATTCAAAGGATGTGTTATCAACCATGACGTTCTATAATAATTCTTCAAATAATGTTCATGGTGTTGACAATACCTATTGTCTTAGAAATTCTGCACCCAGAAATCTTTCTATCATAGATTTGTTTTTGTTTACATAATTATAATTTTCACTAAAATTCCACCTTGTAGTAACAAACTTTTCATTCAATCGGAGAATGGTTTACTTTAAAATAACTTGGAAAGAATACTTTAAATTCATTAGCATCACTCTCTTCATTAGACCTTAATTGTGATGACTTATTAATGTAATACATCTTAAACGCAGGATTGTCCTAATGTTCTGACCAATCCATATTCCTTAGTACACTTCAACTGACTAAAATAAAATAAACAAAAATAAACTTGGGATCATACTGCCCAGAAACTCTTATTCCTAGTCTGTGTCTTACAAACTCAGGGAAATCTTAACAACGTATTCATTGGACATCACCATATCCAGAAACCTATTCTCCCTAGTCCATACCTTTATAGACTTAGGTCAAATATAATTGTGTACTATACTCTTTCCATTCAATTCAATTCCTCTTGGATCTCTGAACTCTTATATCCAAGGCCTTCTTAATGTATACTATTACTTAATATTAATCAATTTAAATTATCCTTCCTTAGTTTTCTTCCTTTTATTACCATTGTTTGTTTTACTTCAACTATATAAACAAATTACTCATTCTAGTTAATCTATGAAATACTATTGAACTCAATCTTTGTGGTATTAAGTAACCATGATCCTTATTTTATCGACTTCATATTTTATCTTCCTCTGATACTTCTCATTCTATGTATAGGAAATAATGTAATAGTTCTCTTCATAATACCATCCATTAATAATTTTACTCCATGTGTTATATAGTTATAAGTAGTCTCTCTTGGTATTAATACTCATAACTGTTAAATAACTTTTCATTGTCTGTTTTCTTCATTAATATTTAGGAATATATATGTATGTTAGTGTCAATCTTTTATTTCTTTGTAAGTCTGTTAATCTTCTGTATCGAATGAACTCTGTAGAATCTTCCATCACAGTTTGCAGATCAGATGAAGTCTCTTTTCAACAGTCGATGTCCAGTTGTCTGAAGGAATGCTTTCCTGATTTATTGCCACATGGATCTGTCACGCTTTACCAGATCAGTTATTTCTGTCTATTTCGTTGCTTCATCCACACAGCTGCGCAGTTCTTTGCTTGGACGCTTGCCAATGTCTGCCACGTGCTTGCTTCTAGATTTCACGTTGTATCTTGTGCTTTTTGTCTCAGTTGTAGAAAATAGTCTTGTACAGTCTTTGATTTGAAAACTTTCTTTTTCTTACAAACCACAGTCTAGATTCTTTTTTTTTCTCTTCAAGTTTGTTTTCCCAGTTCCAAAATAGCTTTGTAACTCGCTTCTTCTCTCTCCCCCCTTGAAGTGGGAACAAAACTTGAATAGAAGACTGGCAGGCTAGCCAATGTAAAAAATGTAGATGAATGGTGAATGGAAGTTCATGTAGACTCTTTCTTAATTTCTTCTTGTCTTCAGTTGATTGATATATATACGTCTTTTGTATATATATTCTTGGGCCAAATGCTCGCCACAATAATATATGTCTATATTATTGAAAAGTAGTAATACGCAATCTAACTTACGGTTTCTTCTGGTTTATTCTTTGTTACGGATACATAATAAAACATAATAAATAATGTTACAGGATAATGTACATTCAACAGCAGATGGTAATTGCTGGACTTCTGATGGGAGAGTTACATCGTTGTACAGAGCCAAGCCAAGAGTGAGACTAGACCTCGTGTCCCTCTGTTACTATATAGATGTGCTAATACTAACGTCAGCATATAACTCTAGCCATATAAGGACAAGACCCCCACACCCACATTCCAGAGCTCTCGGACAAAGAAAGCCTTGTGACTTATTGATACCATCTGTTACTTATGTCAATCCACACATCCATATATAATCAATAGAAACATAGAATATGCAATATTCTACACAATGAATGCACACAGAATTTAGTAGGCATGGAAATTGCATTATGTTAGTAGGCATGGAAATTGCAATAACCCCTTCCTCACCCTGTTTCTCAGAAATGGCAGTGTTTATACTAGCAAAGCTGCAGGTGTAGTCTCTAAGCCCCCAAATAACTAAATTACAATGAAATGATTTTGGTGCTTAGAATGTCCCTTTTAAAGGACCACTATAGGCACCCAGACCACTTGAGCTTAAGGAAGTGGTCTGGGTGCCAGGTCCACCTAGGATTAACCCTTTCTGCTGTAAACATAGCAGTTTCAGAGAAACTGCTATATTTACTTTAGGGTTAATCCAGCCTCTAGTGGCTGTCTCATTGACAGCCGCTAGAGGCACTTCTGCGCTTCTCACTGTGATTTTCACAATGAGAAGACGCCAGCATCCATAGGAAAGCATTGAGAATGCTTTCCTATGAGACTGGCTGAATGCGCATGCTGCTCTTGCCCTGTATGCGCATTCAGCCGATGACGGGGAAAGGACGAGGAGAGTCTCCAGCACCGAGGGAGCCCGGTGCTGGAGAAAGGTAATTTTTAACCCTTTCCTCTCAATCCAGCCTGGCGTGAGTGGGACCCTAAAGGTGTGGGCACCTTCAGGGCACTATAGTGCCAGGAAAACAAGTGTTTTCCTGGCACTATAGTGGTCCTTTAAGAGATTACAGAGTGCAGGTTGGTAAGGTGTTCAACCTAAAGTAAAAAAAAAAAATATATATATATAATTATTTTTTTTTTTAAAGAGCAACACGTCAAGAAAATAGTTCTATACAAATTACAATGTAAGGAATTGAAACTGTTATACATCATTGTCTATGTTGGTAGCCAAATAAAAAAACGCACCATTGAAAGATGGATGTTTGAAGAGTTTAGTATTATTGTCACTGGCCTTTAATAAACCGGCCAACAGATTCTGCAGTGCTATGCAATTGTGGAAAAATGCAAGTAGATTTTTGATATATATACCCTGCCCATAAGCTGAGATCTAGCAATTAAAGCTCTTTTATTAATATGACTGAGCTAGATAGCCCGTGAACCTTCTAAAAGTTAATATGGGGAGTTAAGACGAGGTAGGAGAAATTTGACGGTGATGGTCAGAGAGAATTAACGGATATTTACAGCTACTGTTGAGATGTCAAGTGAAGGATAAGGTAACTGAGTGAGAGGCATGTAAAGTAGGTTTGTGCACAAATGCGTTTCAGGAATTTTATTGGTTCGACCCACCTGAAATGCATTTATGCACAAAATAAGGCTGAAAACATGGAGTGAAATTTAAGTTTTGGTTTTTTTTTCCTGTTGGATGGTTTAGTGACTGGAGGGCCTCTGAATGTTTTCTGGATGAGGTGAAATGCCTTTGAACAGAAGTAAGTATAATATAGCAAGGATTGGGTTGTTTTGCTAAATCTTGTGTCTTACTTTTTATGCAGGGTGCCAGAAAGATGAAGAATTCGTGAAAATAGCTGATTTCTACCCAGAAGACACCAATGCCTTGCAGATATCCTTTTGTACACTTTGAAATGTTCACCACTTTTTTTTTTTTTAACCAAATAACTAATTTGTAGTGTACCTATAATCTTAATTTTAGTAATGACGAGGCGAATATTTGCATAACTCTCTTTACTGAAAATCTCCAGCAGCACAGAACATAAACAAATCAGAAAAAAGAGGATGTTACACAAAAGGCCCTGTAAGCCCACGCCCTTCCTCTTTCTTTCTAGCGACAATAAATGGGTAACAAATACATAAACCATGAACAACAAACATCTGGCAAAGTACTAAATCAATGCTGAATTCCATAGATCTAGAAGGGGTAATAGTCTAAGAAGCTTGCAATTGTATCATTGACTCCAGAAGAGAACCAATTACACTGAAAGAAAAGGGTGAAAGGCATCTGAAATGGCAGAGTGTCCGCATATATTTAACAACTACTTTATGCAAAGTCTTATGGACACATCGACAACATAACTTTGAGTACACATCTGATTACCATAGAACCTTGACCCCACCCATAAATTATCATAGTACAGCACAGAAACCCTAGTACATTCCATACAGAAAAAAGGGAGGAAAGAGATATACAGGAGGGAAATATTCGCCTCTTGTCTTTACTAAAATTAAGATTATAGGTACACTATGTTAGCATAATCTACAATTTTACCACATGACCGGAGGCTTCATATTTGCATTTTTAACGCTGATTATTAAATGACCACTATAGGCACCCAGACCACTTCAGCTTAATGAAGTGGTCTGGGTGCCAGGTCCATGTAGGATTAACCCTTTCTGCTGTAAACATAGCAGTTTCAGAGAAACTGCTATTATTACAAAGGGGTTAATCCAGCCTCTAGTGGCTGTCTCATTGACAGCCGCTAGAGGCGCTACCGCGCTTCTCACTGTGATTTGTTTTCACAGTGAGAGGATGCCAGCATCCATAGGAAAGCATTGAGAATGCTTTCCTATGGACTGGCTGAATGCACTCGTGGCACGCATGCGCATTCAGCTGATGACAGGGAAAGGAGGAGAAGAATCCCCAGCGCTAAAAAAAACGGTAAGGGATTAACCCCTTCCTCACCCTAGAGCCTGGCGGGAGGGGGGCCCAGAGAGTGAGGGTGACCCAAGGACCCTATCAAGCCAGGAAAAAGTGTTTTTCTGGCACTATAGTGGTCCTTTAAGAAGAGCGAAAGAAGCATGAGTAACTTGGCAAAAGTAGACTACTCTAAAGGTACTCTCACTTGTCCAATCTGCGCAACGCATGATGTCTGCAAGGGACGCTCCCGCCGAGAAAGCCTGAGATGCAACCGCCCCTCTGACCTAGTGGGCCCCGAAACAGGATTAAGCGCCAGCTAGAGATAAGAGCCAGTGGATCCATTTGGACAACGTCGTAGTCTACACCGGACCATGTGGCTTGACATACAAGATTAAAAGTTGACCCGACACCAAAAGGGGAGCAGTGAGGTCTGTATAACACATCAAAGCTCTTACCATGCACAACTGTAGTTCCGTGAGGAAAAACGGATAAAAAACAGAGGAGGAATCCGACTTAGTACAACAGGAAACAGCAAAGGAAACTCCTTCAGGAGAGAAAGAGAAACCATCAACATTGAAGGCCCTAACGTCTGCGACGAAAAGAGATGAGGCACGATAACAGGGTAAGTTTCGTAAAACCGGAAACACAGTACCACTTCTACGTCCCAGAGATGAGAATATGTAGGAGCTGGAGGCCTGGATAGGTTAGCTCCCCGCAACAAGCGACATACCAGAGGGTCTTGGCCCACTGGGACGCCTTGTATGGGAACTTATGCCGCAGAAATGGCTGAACGTACTACATTTTCGCTCTTGGGGGAAAAAAGCTGTGATAAATAGTTCAAGATGATTGAGATAGGTTCAGTAAAGGGAATTGGAATCCTTTTCCAGACACAAACGACTCCAAGAGGACCATGCTGAGATGTAGCATTTCCTGGTGCCGGGAGCCCATGAATTCTATAAGAGGTCCTTAGCCGCTTGTGATAGGCCCAGGATCCCAAGAAATCGTTCAAGCCACTAGATCTAGCTTCTGTTCCATGATGAGGTTCTCCCCTCGGTCCTGCCAGAAGTAGAGGGAAGGATGGCAGAAGAAGTGGGTGATCTCGTGACATCTCCAGTGAAAGGAGCCAAAGATCGCTTTGCCATTCCAGGCTGTTATGTGCAGCCACCACCAGCAGAGCTCTGTCCTCACGTCTGCTGAAAGTGGTATCCAGTGGTCGTAGCACCTTCGGGAATGTAGGAAATTCGCTTTCAGGCGCTGCATTGCCCTGTAGTGAAGCAGTACTGGAACTATCGCCTCAATTGATGATGACAGAAGGCCCACTATGCGGGCAAGCATCTGGAGGCGAATTGTGTCCATATGAAGAACCCTCCTGATCTTTCCAGATGGATGTGATCTTTGAGGCTGGAAGTCGTAGTACACAGTTCACCAAGTCGATCTTGAAACTGAGGAACTGGACTGTCCGCGAGGGGGAGAGTGCCAGCGTTTGTTTGTTCGCTACGAAACCCAAGGATTCCAGAAAGTGAACAACAAATTTTGTCTGCAATCGTAGCATGGACGCGGATTCGCAGAAGATTAGCAAATCGTCCAGGGACACGAGACACCGCACTCCTTCGGATCGAATGTGAGCCATCACTAGTTTCAGTAGCTTTGTGAAACACCACAGAGCCGAACTGAGAACGAAGGGCAGACGTGAACTGGCATGCACGTCCTCTCCACCGGAAACAGAGAAAGCGTCGACATTCCCGAGCGACTGGCACTGACTGGTACGTGTCGTTCAGGTCCAGTCGGGTGAACCAGTTGTTTTTCGAGGAGGAGGTCCTGAAGGAGGTGAATCCCTTCCATTTTGAAATGTCTGTAAACTATGTATTTCTTTAGGTTCCGGAGATTTATAACCGGTCGGTAGTCCCCTGTTTTCTTTTTGACTGCAAATATATTGCTGAAGAAACCGTCCCCCATCTGGTGCGTATTGAACCACGCCTTTGTCGAACAGGGAGAGGATCTCTTCGTCCACAAGGAGGTTGTGGTCCTGTGACGTGTAGTAGGATGGAGGGGGGGAAGGGAGGTACCTGTCATGGAGGAGTTTGTGTTTTCTAAACTTCCTACCCCATCAAACCGCAGTGAGCAGGATCCTGTTAAAAGAAAAGTGGGAGTAGCAGGATGGTCTGAAAAATCTTTGGATCTTACTGGCTCACACAGAAGCTTCAGATTTCAATAACTTGAGGATTCTTTGTAGCCATATACATGTTGAGGTTTGTCCGTTGTATAACATGCAGATGTATGTATGTATTTTAATGTTGTTTCCTTAACACCTTCCTTTACAAATTCGGTTTTGCTGAACAGTCTGTACACAAGATAAGGATCACATTCACAAATGGCACTGATTTCTTTGGAAGAATTATTGTTTACCACCTGGATGTCCTAGGCTAAAAGTAACACAATTTCTACCCAGAAGGTATCTCATTAAATGCAGTGTAATGGCACTATCCATGCTGCAGAGGAACAAAAACAAAGCAAACCAAATGAAAACTGGTTTTGGGTCCAAAAGAAGTGAAGAATCAACTGGAACGTAAAATCTTGGTTCAGTATTTTGTTAAAAACCATTATGTGTTAATATGCAAGGTGATTTTAACCATGTTAAGTAACTTGTTGCTGCATGTATCAGCTTCAATAGAGGATTGAAGGTACACCATAGCACAAGGGTTGAGGAGTGACTATAGGGTGTTTTTTGAAGTAAGAGCTATAGGATTTTACAAATAATAATTGCCATGATTTATAAAAAAATAATTGTATGTGTGTGTGTATATACATTTTTTCTACTTCAGACTGGTTTTAACGGTTCGTCTAAGCACCATAATCACTACATGCTGATATAAACAGGTGTGGCAGCTGGTTGATGGCAGGGACACTGCTCTATTCCTGGAATACGACTGCCCATATAACCCTATCTACTCAACATAATTTTTTATTAATTTGCTCAGGTATACTTTTATAGTCCTGCTGCCATGGCTTAATCAGGAGTAATGACAATATGCTTCTTTATAATTTGTCTTACATAATATAAAGAAATCACTTGTTCCTTTTTGGATCCAGAAAAAATTTAAATAAGCCAGTTATCTACAATTGTCTGATGGTGTATTCACTGTCAAAGAGGTATAGATTCAATCTATTTATTGTGCTTGAGAGATCTCTAGCAAATGTCCCTGAGCCATATTGGTGGATCACTAAATGCAATTGTCACAACAATACTATAAATATTTGATATTATTTATGATGATGATCTTTTTCATGGTACACTTTTTTCCTTCAAGATCTCTATGCGATGCAATACACCATATGTGATGTGCAGTAACGTGAACACAGTATAATTATTAGCAAAATCATAATGCATTACAGCTCTGGATGATAATGACATAAAATAAACGCTGTACTGTGTATTTTGAACATACCTCTGGTTTATTCCTTGTAAATATAAGGTTGGGAAATCGAAAAGTGGAGTGACCTTTAAACAGAGGCTTCCCTGCACTTTTTTCCGACATCACTCTTTCCACCCACGCATCTGTTTCTGTTATTTGTTTTATATTTTACTTCTTTTGGAAATCAAAAGCTCAGCTCATGGGTATAGCTGAGAGTGGGGTATGGAGTGGGAGTAGGCTGTAGATACAGAGTTGGGAATATATCTGTGTCCGCAGTTACAAATATTCTACATTAGCGTTTAATTATGTTATTCCCATGCAATGAATATGACCGGTTTTGTAGTGTTAGTACTACAAAGGTGGATGTGGGCCTTTCCAGAGGTTTGTGAAATAGTACACAGAAGGGAAAAGTCTGTGTGCTAATTTCAGAGAGATACTGGAAGCTGAAATAATTTGGTCAGGCATTTTGTCTAACCAAGCATGGCTCTAGATGCAGTTCCACCTCCAGAAGTGTGCAAATAAAGAACATCTAGGTAGACTGGGCACTCAAATGGCAGATGAAATTTAATGCTGAAAAATGCAGTTATGCACTTCGGCGTAAAGAATGCACAAGCAACGTATACCCTTAATGGAAGCAAATTAAGGATAACAACACATGAAAAAGGACTTGGGAATTGTTATAGAAAACAAACTATGCAACAATGTCAATCAGCAGTGGCCAAGGCCAGTAAGGTATTGTCATGCATGAAAAAGGCCATTCATTCTCAGGACGAGAATATAATTTTGCCTCTTTATAAATCACTGGTAAGACCACATATTGAATATGCTGTGCAAATTTGGGCACCTGTTCTAAAGAAGGATATTATGGCACTAGAAAGAGTGCAGAGGCGGGCTACAAAACTAATAAAAGGAATGGAACATATAAGCCATGAAGAAAAGTTAACAAATTTAAACCTATTTAGTTTAGAAAAACGTTGCCTGAGAGGGGATATGATAACATTATACAAATATATTCGGGGCCAATACAAACCATTGTGTGGAAATCTATTCACAAACCGGACTTTGCATAGGACACTAGGTCATGCATTTAGACTGGAAGAAAGAAGATTTCATCTAAGGCATAGGAAAGGTTTTTTTTTTACTGTAAGAACAATAAGGATGTGGAATTCTCTGCCTGAAGAAGTGGTTTTCTCAGAGTCCATACAGATGTTCAAACAGCTACTAGATGCATACTTGCAAAAACAGAATATTCAAGGATATAATCTTTCAATGTAGGGTAATAACTGCTTGCTCCAAGGATAAATCTGACTGCCATTCTGGGGTCAAGAAGGATTTTTTTTCCTAGCTTGTTGCAAAATTTTGCTTCAAACTGGGTTTTTTGCCTTCTTTTGGATCAAAAAACAAATGTGAGGAAGGCTGAACTTGATGGACGCAAATCTCTTTTCAGCTATGTAACTATGAGAAGGAAGAACCTAACCCAATTTTTTTCCATGTGCCGTTTTAGTTCATCTGAATCATTTAGTCCAAAAATATTGCATGGATGAACTAAAACAAATAAAATATTAAATTTTGTATAAGTAAATACATTAAAAAAAAAAAAACTTTCAAATTCACTAGAGCGCTCTGATGACTTGTAAGCCACCCAATTTAGAGCACTTTGACAGGCCAGTGTCATCTGTCACAAGCCTTATATGGGCCTATTCTCATGCAAGTCTAGTATTTCAATGTCAGAACACTGATTGGTTGGCTTACAAGAGTACTCTACTGCCTTTCCAAATGTAGGAAAGCCGTGCAATGAATATGACTCCATGGGTAAATCCTGAACCGTTAGTGTGAATTAAAACTGCTACAACTAAATTTTTGCACAGGTCTACAGATGCAGATCCTCCCTCTTTCTTATTATGGTGGGGGAGATCTGAGAATTTTTAAAATTCTTTGGAGACCCATAGCCATTGAAATGAGATGACTAGCCATCACTTTGGGGGGGATGGAGGACAATGGCAAGTTCACATCCTAATGTCATTAGGTTTAATATCCCCCACCTGAAGCCTGTGGAAGGCAAGCAGTAGCATGTCCTCTGGGTGGAGTGGGAAAATAGCATGTCCACCCAGTGGCGAACACACGATCCACGGGGCCCCGGTGCGAAAATTGATTCTTGGCCCCCCCCCACGCTTACTCTGCTCGGGCCTGGGCCGCAACACATGGTGCGCCCCTGCGACCATGGTATGTACGCCAGTGCATGCAGATACACATATACTTAAAGGACCACTATAGGCACTCCGATCACTTCAGCTCAAAGAAGTGGTCTGGGTGCCAGGTCCCTCTAGTTTTAACCCTGCAGCTGAAAACATAGCAGTTTCAAAGAAACTGCTATGTTTCACTGAGGGTTAATCCAGCCTCTAGTAGCTGTCTCACTGACAGCCACTAGAAGCACTTCCACAATTCTCACTGTGAAAAATCACAGTGAGAAGACGCTGGACGTCCATACAAAAGCATTGAGTAATGCTTTCCTATGGGCAGTTTGAATGGGTTCCCGGCTCTTGCCGCTCATGCTCATTCAGAGCTTCGGGGCGGAGAGATCCACAGCGCCAAGGGAGCCCGGCGCTGCAGAAAGGTAAGTGCTGAAGGGGTTTTTACCACACACACTCTCACGACCAGATGCCTACACACTAGCTAACAGACACACACATTTACTGACAGACACACACTCAGTGATAGACATACATACACTCTAACTGACAAACACACTCACTAACAGACACACAAACTAACACACTCAGTAACACACTCACTGACACTCACTAGGAGACTAACACACACACGCACACACACAAAAACTGACAGTCACTAGCAGACACACATCTAACACACTCGGTAACAGACACACACTCTAACACACAGACACACTTGAGGGCTGCTGGACACAGAGAGGGCAAGGGGAGCTGCACAGAGAATGGGCAACATACAGAGAGGGCAAGGGGGCTGCACACAGAGGGGGGATTCACACAAAGAGAAATTAAAGGGGCTGCAAGCAGGAGGAAGTTGATGCACAAAGGGGGATGGGCAGCACACAGGAGTTGAAGTGGCTCACTCTGGTGGTGGTGAGGTTTAAGGGCTTTAAAATATTACAACAATGCAATGCAAAAAAAAAGAAAACAACAATACACCTTCCTATTTGTTGTCCCCCTCACTTTGGCTTACCTCGGGTCAGAGAGGGGAGACACAATGATCTGGACCTGGCCTGACTGGGGGGACTCTGCTCTGCACGATGCACAGCAACACTCTGTGTCTGTCACTTCCTGCTGTCAGACAGTGGCAGTGCTGAAGGGCTGCTGCCTGCTGGAGAGGCAGTGAGGGAGATCTGATTACCTGCAGAGCAGGAGGAGAAGGTTCCTTCCTGGCTGCCTTACCACCCCCACGTTCCCCCCTGGGCTCCACTTCCTGCACCACATGCCCCAGTCAGACAGCATACCGGCCCCAGCTTACCTGCTGCATCTGTCACTGAGTCTGAGACTCATAGCAGCCAGCCAGTTACCTGCCAGGCCGCCCACAGCACCAGGAAGAATGTTATTATCTGATAGTAACAGCAGGGGTCCACAGTGTGGCCGGGCCCCCTGGAGTGCCAGGCCCAGTTGCAATTGTGACCCCTGTAGGTACGCCACTGTGTCCACCCCATTCTTAAAATTGTACATAGGCACATAGCCCCAATGGACGAAGGCAGGGGACAGTGGGATTTCCCCCTCCCCCACTTATTAAATATTAGCCCCCCATTTCTGCTCATGGTTGGAGCCAGGGGGCTGCCCATCCCCCATTATGTAATTTTCAGCCCCAATGGATGGGGACATGTGGTCCAGGCCCCACTTCCAATACCTGCTAACTTGGTCGTTTTTAATTTATAGTGAGTAGCCTTTAGCTGAAAGCGTAAAAACACTGGAATGGAGTTCAGGATTTCAGACAAATTCATCTAAAATGAAATGCAGAAGTCTTATAATTTTTCTACATTAGCCATTTTAGCCTAATTTTTCCAGTATGGTTTTTAATTCAGTTGTTCGTGAATAAAGCCCTTAAAGGGACACTATAGGCACCAGAACAACTACAGCTTAATGTAGTTGTTCTGGTGAGTATAATAGCTCCCTTCAGGCATCTTCAGAGAAAAGGCAGTGTTTACATTGCCTCTAGGGACACCTCCAAGTGGACATTCGTTAGATGGCCACTGGAGGGGCTGGCATTCAGTGTCCGCACGCTCTGCATGGAGACGCTGAATTTTCCTCATAGAGATTTATTGATTCAACAATGCATCTCTATGAGGAGGTGTTGATTGGCCAAAGCGGTGTTTGGCCCTGTCCCCTTGCCGATTTTAGCCAATCCAATGCTTTTCCAATGGGAAAGCATTGGATTGGCTAAAAATTGGACATTTTGATGATGTCACCAAGGTGGTGGGGCCAGCACTGACAGACCCGTGGAGAGCTGAAAATAAGGTGAGTTTTAACCCCTTAAGACCGGAGGGCGTACTATTACGTCCTCTAATAGGCGGCTCTAAATGCCGCCGGGCGTAATAGTACGCCCTCCGGTCTTTCTGTACTTACCCGGTTGCCGGCGGTCCCACGCGAGGACCCCACAATCACATGGCCGGGGATAGCTGGCTTCTGTATTGCCGGCAGGGGGGCTGCCTGTAATGACAGGTGGTCCCCCTGCTGGCTGAAAATAAAAATGAAATAAATAAATAGTGTAAAAAAATAAATAATATATACTTAGATCATATATATATCTTATATATATATGATCAAAGTATATATATACACATATACATACACACATGTACACCGTCTAGGTGTATTTTACTATTAATATATATATAATTATATATATATATTAATATCAAATTACAAGTACACTGATACTGATTAAATATATATATAATTATTGTTATATATATATTTATATATATTATAAAAAAAATTAAAATGTAAATACGTTAAAAAATAAAATTATAAAAATAATTAAAAATAAATAATTAAAAATATATAGATGTGTGTTATTTCGTTCTAACTGTATTGTGAAATTAATATATATATATATATATCAAAAAACACATAGAACGAAATAATATATATATTTATACACATAAATATATACGTATATATCACTATATATATACCTATATATAAATAAAAATATTTAAAAAAAATTATATAGATATATACATATATATACACATACGTATATATATACATATATTGATTCTACATATATATTTATATAATATTTTTACATAATTAGGTATCTTAATTAATTACAATTAGCAGGACCTGCATGACAACCCATGCCGAAAGTAAAGGGAATTTAATTTGCTAGCACTATATTTAACCCTATAACTTTCCGAGACACCATAAAACCTGTACATGGGAGGTACTGTTCTACTCGGGAGACTTCGCTGAACACAAATATTAGTGTTTCAAAACAGTAAAATGTATTACAACGATGATATCGCCAGTAAAAGTGACGTTTTTGCATTTTTCACGCACAAACAGCATTAAACGGACAATATTATTGCTATGATACTTTTTACTGTTTTGAAACACAAATATTTGTGTTCAGTGAAGTCTCCCGAGTACAACAGTACCCCTCATGTACAGGTTTTATGGTGTTTTCAAAAGTTACAGCGTCAAATATAAGGCTTGTGTTTCATTTTTTTCACATTAAAATTTGCCAGATTGGTTAGGTTGCCTTTGAGACCCTATAGTAGCCCAAGAATGAAAATTACCCCTATGATGGCATACCATTTGCAATAGTAGACAACCCAAGGTATTGCAAACGGGGTATGTCCAGTCTTTTTTAGTAGCCACTTAGTCACAAACACTGGCCAAAATTGGCGTTTTTTTTGCATTTTTCACACAAACAAATACTAACGCTAACTTTGGCCAGTGTTTGTGACCAAATGGCTACTAAAAAAGACTGGACATACCCCATTTGCAATACCTTGGGTTGTCTACTATTGCAAATGGTATGCCATTATGGGTGTAAATTTCATTCCCGGGCTACTATACAGTCTCAAAGGCAACGTAACCAATCTGGCGAATTTCAATTTCAAATGTAACGTGCTATATTTGACCCTGTAACTTCCCAAAACGCCATAAAACCTGTACATAGGGGGTACTGTTTTACACGTGAGACTTTGCTGAATACAAATATGTGTATTTTATTGCAGTAAAAGCAAACAGTATTATGACACTGACCGTTTAATTGTCATGTAGAACTAAAAAAATCCAATAAAATCGTATTTTCTCCCATTTTTTTCATATTAAATTATGTTTCATAGCTAAATATTTGATATTAAATGAAAGCCCTGTTTCCCCTGAATAAAATGATATATAATAATGGTGGGTGCATTTACTATGAAAGAGGTGTATTACGGTTGGACAGACATGTAGCGCAAATGCCAGGTTTTGTTTACATTTTGTTTTGTTCACAACGTGTACATTTGGCTCCGTCCTTAAGGGGTTAAACTTATATAGGAGGGCTGGGGGGAGAACCACCTAAATGGTAGGTTTTCACTATAGGGTCAGAAATACATGGTTAGTACATACTGGCTACACTGAAGTCTAAACGGTAGTGTTCCTTTATGTATACATTAATTTTTGAGATTTGTTTACAAGGTGAGAGCAGCCCTAAAGTTATGGAGTATAGTGAGTTTTAATCCACTAAAATCAATCACACAAAAAACAGTGAAAATCATTTACAAGTTATCAAAATTGTAACAAGCTATTTTAAATTGTAAGAAAGTGACTGTATGATTCAAGAATGCATTACAGAGCAGATGGTTATTTCAATCACAAGAACCTTGCTTGGTCTATTGTAATGGTGCCAAACTGGATTCATAATGTAAATCCTATAGCATTTTAAGAATGCAAATAATTCAACATTAGTGACAAAAGCAGATTGTGAGACTTCTGCAAAACACAGTACAGGGTTATTCACTACACTGCAAAGTTTTGCAAATTAATTCCAAAAAGCAAATGTAACTAAGCAGACTACAGCAGAATTGGAGAATTGTTCAAGATCAGCTATTTTAAACTTGTTTTTGCCATTCAGAGTTAATTCTAAAATTTTGAGTTTTGGCAAACCCTGAACAGTCCTAGCAATTGATTTGGCAAAACTAGTCTAAAGCAGATTCTTAAAGTCACTTGGAAAAGGTAGCATATAGACCTTAAAAAGCCAACTTGTCATTTCCATGGATCCAATAGTCTTGTTATGGTGCTAAAACAGATTTTATTTTTTTACCAACATGATTCAGTTAACACATAGGAGGGATTGGACTATGCAATTTTTGTATTGAGAAGAATGTGCGCATGAGGTAGATAAATGCCTATTGGGTTACAGAGAACATATAAAACATTTTTAACCCTCTGAGTGCCAAATGATGGCTATACATAATGTAGGACACATGGCTGGCAGTCGGGTTAAAGGAAAGTCATAGTTTATACTACAATAAACTACCTTTTAAATAGTCAGTGTGTTGTAGTGTATTCTTATTTACCCATTCACTTGCCAGTGCTACCATCATAAATTAGCCAGATAATGCCCACATTAAAAGTGCAAGAATAAATCTGATACAACATACAAAAACTTTGCAGGTAATTAAAATCAGTATGTGCCTCAAACCGTTATCGTCATAAGAATAGCTCACATGTCCAATAAAGTCTCAATCACTTCAGTGTGCCTCGTAAAGTTCTATTAGCATATATACAATTTCCCCCCCCATTCACATAGTTACAAAGGAATACAGGCTGAAATGATTCAAGTTCATCCTCCTACACATATGTATTTCTACTGTTGATGATATTTGAGATTACTGAACTTGCATTTATGGGATTCCATACAGACACCTATACCCAGGGCCGGTGCAAGGATTTTTGGGTACATAGGCGAAGATGTATCTTTCCACCCCCCCCAAATAACATCTTCACCTATGTGCCTCTTAACCAGCCCCTCTCCCCGTCCATTAGTGGTCCCCTCCCTTCCCTGTCCCTTAGTGTTCTTCTAAGCTCTCCCCTCTTTTTCCTGTCCCTTGGTGTTTCTCTCCCCTCCCCTCCCTGTCCCTTGGTGCACCCTCCACCCCTTAGTGGTCGCACTCCCCTTCCTGGTGTGCCTCCTACCTCTCTTGTAGCGTTGCCGAGTGGAGAATATCCCCTACAGGAGCTTCAATTTTCTGTACCTGGCCGGACTGACAGGGAGTGCTCTCTCAGTGAGCACCTCCGGTCAGTCTGGCTGGGTACAGGAAACAGAAGCTCCTGTACTGCGTTCCACCACGCTACACTCAGTGGTGTATACACACTGACAGTCACACACACTCAATGACAAACACACAGACTCACTGATCTGACACACACTGATACTCACACACAGACTCAATGGCAAAGATACTCTCACTGATTTGACAGACACTCACAAACACACACTGACAGACACACATACACTGCCACACTCATACACTCACATGCAGTACTCATACAAGCACTCACAGACACACTCACTCACAGACACACATACTCATGCACACACTCAGTCAGTCATGGGCACACAGACACTCAGGCACACATACACTCACACACAGACACACACACAGACAGACACACACACTCAATCACAGACAGTCACTCACAGACACACAGACACGCATACACACACTCACTAATTATTTTAATAAATAAACATTTTCCACCCAGCCTCCCTACCTGGAGAGCTGGTGTGGATGATGAATCATTCCCTGGGGTCCAGTCAGTGGTGTATCCTGGTTTTGTGCTGCCCTAGGCAGGACAAAACTCAGGCACCCCCCCCCCACCGCGCCAGGCCCCCCCAACCCTTCCCCCCGCCCCGCCTTCTAAATACACACACACACACACATTCACTGACAGATCCGCATACACTCGCTAACAGAAACACACACACACACTAACAGACACACACTCACTGACACAATCTCACACTGACACACACACACACATACACACTCACTAGCACACACACTCACATTCACTGACAGATCCGCATACACTCGCTAACAGAAACACACACACACTCACTGACACACACTCACTGACACACACACAGTCAGACACACACACACACTCACTGACACACAGTCAGACACACACACACACACACTAACAGACAAACAGTCAGACACACACACTAACAGACACACACTCACTAACAGACACACACTAACTAGCAGACACACACACAAACTCTCACACACATTAAATGACACACTCACTGACACACACACTCACTAGCAGACACACACACAGTCAGACACAAACATACACACTAACACTCACTAGCAGACACACACACACACACAAACTCACACACACACTAACAAACACACACAAATTAACAGACACACACACACACACTCACAGGCAAACACACACTCACTGACAGTCAGACACACACTAACAGACACACACTCACTCACTAGCAGACACACACTCACAGTCAGACACACACACACACATTAACAGAAGCACACACTCACTCACATTAACACTTTATTTTTTTTTTTTATTCACTCCCCCCCCCACCTCCTTACCTCTGGGAGTGCTGGGGGGGGAAGGGGTTCATTACCTCCCTGGTGGTCCAGTGGCTGCTGGGCGGGCGGCTGGCAAGGGAGCTCTTCAACTGAGCGGTCTGCTCAGCTCCCTCGCGCGCCGCAAAGTGAGGCTGGGAGCCGGAATATGACGTCATATTCCGGCTCCCGCGGTATCAGCAGACAGCGCGCGAGGGAGCAGAGCGTGGAGATTAGAGCTCCCTCGCCGCGTCTGATCACAGCACAGCCGCACGCCGCGCCGGGGATCCAAAAGGTGGCCTGGCAGAAGGGAGAGCTTCCCTCCTGCCGGTCACTGAAATATTGCGCCCCCAGAGCCGGTGCGCCCTAAGGCGGCCGCCTGTGCCGCCTTATGGACCCGCCGGCCCTGCCTATACCCAGTGATTCTCTAAAGGCGTAAGTTAAAGAAGGGGCCAGGATTGGCTAATAAAGCTCTTCCACTCTGGCTGAAAAAAGTATCACTGGAGAAACGTTAAGAGTCTCGGGACAATTTGTTGTTTATTCAATAAACTCCTAGCTGTCAAAACAGCCAAGCAGTTTTCCAGTTCAGCTAATTTTTGCATAAATTTAGCAAATTAAATTTCAATTCACTACAATTCTGTGTTTAGTGAATACATCCATACAGGGTTATTCAATAAACTCCTAACTGAAATCTAAACTTGAGCACAAAGCATTTTCACCTGCAACAAATTAATCAAACTCCTGTCAATCTATGCCCGAACAAATAGATGTCACGTAAATCCCAGACATAGTGGCTTGTTTGGGCGTAGATTAATATGAATTGGATTCAATTATCAAAGATGAAAAAGATTTGTGCACAAGTCTGTAGATACCTAAAGTGAAATCTTAAAAGGGATACTATAGGCACTAATGAAGCAGTGTTGGTGCATAGATTATGCCTGCTGCAGTCTCACTGCTCAATTCTCTACCATTTAGGAGTTAACTTTGTTTATGCAGACCTAGTCACACCTCCCTGCATGTGACTTGCACAGCATTACTAAACACTTCCTGTAAAGAGAGATCCTCTTGGGGGCAGCAAAGCTGACAAAGACTGCAGGTGCACTAATGAAGGGGTTAAAATATCCAGTTTGCTGGTTCCTGGGTTTATGGTAGAGCTGTAATATTTATTTATATGTGTGACAGTAGTCTCCATCACTGGGAATGGAATACAGACACTATGTGTGGGTGTTTTTGGTCACCCTGCACCCAGTATTGGTGCAGGGTATGTTAAATGTATTGCTTGTATGTGCCTTTTCCCAGCAGGGTGTTGTCCCAGGGACACTGCCAGACCAGTTTAAACTAGTTGCCCTGTCATTCCTCAATCTCCCATCAGCCCTTGCCATTGTCTGACCCCACCCTACCTTGTACTATAGTGCTTTATGCACCATTGTATGTAAATGAGGCTGTTGGGGGATTAACTATAAAGTTAGTTGTTGTTTTAACCTTCACCAAGTGTCATCTGGTGTTTGGTCCAGGGTGGAAAAGGCCCTCAGTGATCCAGTCAAGCCTCGGCGACTGGGTCTTAAGTGCTCCAGGGTCCCTGATAGCTACGAGGAAGCAGACTTGGTGGAGGTACCCGGCCGGGGTACAGGGTGCTCCACTACAATATGGTTTCAGAGTCCTGAGAGCAAAGTTTTATTAATTTATAAAAAGAAACAAGCACCTTTCCCCCCAGCTTGAAACCCCCCCCCAAAAAATAAAAAAATAAAAGTTGTTGCAAGAAGAATGGCTTTCCAAGGTGTTTTCGTGGGTTTTTCACACCTTAAGTATTTGCAGCAGTTGTTAAACTGGGAAAAGACACAACTTTGACAGTGGGTAATGTAGCATCCCTGAAAGATCCAATGCTGTGGAGAATTGATAACTTGTGGCCTTGGTTTCCTCTACTACGGAGTCTGTACTTTGTCTGGGACATTTTCTCTGATTAGTTTATGCAGCACAACATTTCTTCAGTGTCTGTTTCATCTAGAAATTTCCTCAGTTTTCTCAAAGATGGGGCTTGAGGCCAAATAACTTGACAATCCAAATGTCCAGTCTCTCAGGTTTTCGTTGGGCTTTGGAAGCTGATGTCACCAAGCTCCAGCCAGCAGTTTTACAGATCCATTCAGCCTTGAAATCTACCTCTCTTTCCTCTCATCTATCAGCTTCACACTGTGATCAATTAAACTCTAGAAACAAATTCCCATTATGACCCTGGCTTTAAAACCTGTTTTAATGGGATAGTTACTTCTAAGATAAGACTATTGGAACTGGGGGCCTCATCAGTGTAACTACTCTTCATATTTTTTCATCAGGATAAAGTTTTTCTAAGGACTGTACCAAAGTTCAGGCCCAAAGTGATTTCCAACTTCCACTTAAACCAAGAGATACATTTACCAGCATCCTTTCCATCTCCTTCATCAGAGACAGACAGTATTCTGCATTCCCTGTGATATTTTCAGGTGTCTACCAACCAAAGAATTGGTGGCTGGAACAAATACTTAAGATTTGTGTTATTAATTCAAGACAAAACTAAGGCAAAAGTGTAAGAGCATTATGGGGAATGTAGTCCACAACATCTGGAGTGCCGAAGGTTGCCTACCCCTGGCACTAGTTCATTGTCTGCATCCTAGGCAGCTGTGGCACACATCCAGCCAGACCAGACTTGCTGGGCAGCTACAATGTCAGTGGAGAACATGTTTATCAGAGATTATCGCCTGGGCCCTAGATGTTAAAGATGTGATTTTTGGCAGCGGCTAGGTTTGGAAGAGCGGTCCTTCTAGCCCCTTCAACCTAAGAGAGCTTTTGGTTTCATGCCTTTGCATATTAATAAATTCTTCAGCAGTTCTTTCTTGTGGTGGGTTTTAGGCTACCATACTTAATTATAGCTTGAACATAACCTATCCTACTACTGCCATGATGAATTATTAATTCAGCACGGTCATCTCCACCTTTGAGTGTGCTTTTTATGAGAAATTGGATCAGATCAGGCCGGGGTCATAATCAGTGATTTTAATTAGTGTCCAATGAAGTGATGGGAGAAAACTTTACGTTATTGTAGAGCTGCCATACCCCATTACTGAAAAGGAAATATATATCTATTGGGCTGTCACATATAGAGCTGTAATCGGTTTGGGTTATATTAGTCAGTCACAGAGCAACAGTAAGTGTGGCACTAGTTCCACAAATAACTCTACATGAGACAGACAAAAGTACAAAGCTTAGTGAATGACAAATAGTCCCAACAGCAGAAGAAAAATGGTCAGGTGCATTATTTAAAAAAAGTATATCTATTCTGTAAAAATGGCTACAAAAAAAAATAAATTTAAAAAAAAATTCAAACAACCACCAAACACATTTCCATAAGTGGCCGTTAAATATGACGGATGGCCAGTAACTGACTACCTTTTTGAATTAACAGGTACTGTATAAACGGTCTACGAGAAGAATTACTTTTGATACTGGTTAATGGCAATGAATACTTCCTCAAAATAAAAGCAAAAGTCACAGCCCACCCCCACCCCACCTCTCAAAAAATAAAATAAATTATGCATGACCAAGAAACAGTGCACTTTGCTGGGAGAAAAAGATAAGATAATGTGGAGTTCCAGAAAAGCAGTAAAATATATCTTACAGAGTCTAAGAGCAGAACCCACTAATAATACATGAAATACTGAGGAGGAATCTGGGTTATTCTACTTTGTACTGCACTCCATCCTGTACTCCAGTGTATATGTGTACTACATTCCCCTTCCTTCATTATTTTATTGCTCTTGTTCTATTTAAAGGGACTCTCCAGTGACAGGAAAACAAACCATTTTCCTGGCACTGCAGGTCCCCTCTCCCTTCCACCCCCCATCCCAAGTTGCTGAAGGGGTTAAAACCCCTTCGCTGACTTACCTGTATCCAGCGCCAATGTATCAGGGTCCACCCACGCTCCTCCCCCTCCGACGTCATCCGGCGGTGGAGTCTTACTGCGCATGCACAGCCGGTGACGGGGGAGACCTAATGCACATGCGCGGCATTAGACCTCCCCATATGAAAGCATTGAAAATGCTTTCAATGCTTTCCTATGGGGATTTCAGCAACGCTGGAAGTCCTCACATAGTGTGAGGACGTCCAGCGATGCTATAGCACAGAAAATGTGTGCTATAAACCCAGAAGTGCCCTCTAGTGGCTGTC